TACGATTATATAAGCTTGGTTCAACTAGGTTGGAAATTTGGTTGATTTGGTTCTGTTAATTGTGTTATAATTTACTTGATCAAAATTCCAAATCATACTAGTATGAAATTTAATTTTAGACAAATTGTGGTTTGGTGAATAGTGCTTTTGTAGCACTAATGAAAAGTGCAATTTAATTTGGCACTTTGAAGTGCAAATTAAAGCACTGTAACGGTGCTATTAAGCACTAGGTAGAGTGCCTAATTAGGCACTTTCGGCCACTTGATGGCTGCACCTTTAGGTGTTGAAAACTTAAGCATTTGGTGCTTTAGTAATAGAAATAAAGGTACTAGATTATGATTGGTCTTAATGCTAATTTACTTAGCTTAAACCTTCCGTAAGGGGTTAATTAAATCTAGCGTTGTAAAGTGCTTCGTGACTAGCACGAAAGGAGGTTTGGCTAATTGTGTAATTAGCTAATAATCCTAGTGCTAGGTAGCACTGAAATTATAAATTAAGCAACCGAATGTTGCTATGAGTTTATAATTTAAAGCAATACAATATTGCTTTGGAATCGGCGCGTTAGTTTGGCAGCAATGATTCGTGCTTTGTATAGCATGATCCGTGTTTCATTACTAAGCACTGATTCGTGCTTCAATCTCAGAAACATGGATTCGTGGCTTTGGCTTCGGTCAATCCCGAATGGATTCGTGAGGGCTAATCTGTTAGCACCCACGAGATTTGTTAACGTGTAACACATGTTTATTCTTTATAAGAATAAAAGAGAAAACCAAATTAATCGTGGATTAATGAGGTTACGAACGATCGATGTGGTGAACATGAAACACTTGTTGGTCATTTCTGCGCAAGCATTGGTATCGTACTCGAGCGTACGACACGGTATTCACCTCAATCGAACGTTGTTGCCGAACATAAATATCAAGACGTTGATATGTTCGGGTCTACCTTAAAGTATGTGGGGTGAGACAATACTTTGGACAAGTGAGTACCTTTTAAATAAGGTTACCCGCATGAAATTCTTACGAATTGTGGGCACGTAGGAAGTTTCCTACTAATGCCTGAAATGTGGGGGTGTCTTGCCAAAGGTGTGTATTGATTCTTAGTACACGAGTCCTATAGTTTGGATGTACATAAGAACACGGTAAATTGAATCAAGAAATTCATCGCTCTTTAGAAGATGCATTTCCGAGAAGGTTCAATATCGGACCCAACACGTTGAAATGAACTTCCGATGTAGCTATGGTCGGAGGGTATGAAAGAGAACCCGAGCTCAAAGCTAGATGTAGCAAGAGAGCTAGGATTGAAAAATTCTTAGATGCCAAATATATTTCAATATCCAAAGCCCAAGTGAAATAATTGCAATCGACATGAGCGAACTCAATAAATTCACATTTTTCAATGAAAGGTATGATGATCATCATTTGATGTAACTTTAGGAAGCAATGTGACAACTTGGGGAAAAACCATTATTTTGAATACATGTTCAAGCAATGGATGAAGAAACATCTTTTACATAAATATGCATATATATTTCTTAGCATTATAATACAAACACAACAATCCGATGCAAACATATAATAAGGACCGATTATGCATTCGATATCCATAGTCATAGAACATACATGGATACATATATATACAATTTGGCATATAACTACATGTATTTACCATTTCAAAGCATCATAGTTCATATAGAGCCTAACTCATATACAAGAATTGAGAGAATAAATAAAGATAATATGTATTTACAAATTCATGTATTTACCCAAATTCTTAACCATGTCTTGATGAGGGGTTCATCACTCAAAAGTTGTTAACAAACATGAAGAATAATCACTCATTTCATAGAAACAATAATTGAAGGTTCCAAACCAAACCCATAGCCATATATACACACATAATATTTATATATAAACAATGGCATATGATTCAAAAAAAATGCACAGGAAAATGAACCAATAGTACCGTTCACCGGAGATTACAATAGAGACTCGTGCTGATAACGTGTTGTAATTTGACCTATCAACTAGCTCAGTTCTCGCGTGATGTTTGCACGGTACTACTTCGTGATTGTATGTATATGAGTATATAGTATAGATAAGTAAAAGGGAGATGAAGAACACAATGTATAGAACACAATTTCATAAGACCATCTTTTCATTAAGCCTTCACCCTCAATTTATAGAGACCATTACAACCTTTCACATACTTATCATAAACAAGATATTAAGTAGAAGGCAAAATGAAGAGTCTCAAGATTAATGGCCACTAATTGAAATATTTATAACATATATCTATTTTTTTATTGTTGAAATTCTCTTGTAAGTTATTGATTGTTATTTTATTTTTATTTGTAAACTCTAAAAAGCTATACTTTAATTTTGATATAAAGTGGAAAGGTTAAGTTTGTAACTTGATTTATGGGTTTTGGGTCTTAAATTTTAAGAGCATAATATGTATAATTTTGTTAGTGGCTAAGAATGATGATCGAACATTGAAATGACTATATTTTTCATCTCTCATATGTTTTCTCTTTTTACTATTTTGGTACTTGGTGACAATAATTTTTAACCTGAAATATACCATTATTCATGGGTTTGCTTGTGTTCTAATCCCTTTATATATTTCTTTATAGATTAATAATGGCTATATTTCTTTTGACGGAGAAAATTTGGATTTTTATGCATATATATTCTTACAAGATGTTGCAATTGTTTCTAATAGTGACTAAGGTTGTAATTTAAATTTAGGAGTTTAGGGGTTTAAATAAATTTAAGAGTTAAGATAGATATAGGAAATTCGATGGTTTTTATTAATTAAAATAAAAAAAATTCATAATTATAAATATAATAATTTAGAAATTTATTTTTACATATCAATTACAATTCTTAACTTAGAATTCTTTAATTTTAGTGTCTAAAAAAGAATAGAAATTTATTTGTATATTAGAATGCTTTTAACAAATTTTCAAATTAAAAAAGAATGCTTTTAACAAGTTCATCGGTGGGATATTAATATAAATTTAAAATTATAAAATAATTAGATAATTAGTAAGTAATAAATATGTTTAGGAAAGTAGACGTATTTTGTTAATTAGAAATAAAAGAGTTTTCTAAAAAAATTCAAGTCTTAGATATTTTGTAAAAAAGGACATGGTTAATATTGATTTTATTTTTTAATGATGTGTCACCTCCTCATTCACTGCTGGTGTATAGCATCTATACAGCGACGGTGCATCAAATATTAATCCTAAAAAAAAATCAATATAAGTGTTCGGTTAATTAGCTTTTTGTAACTCCAAAATGCTAAAGTTCAAACTAATTTACCAAACATCTTTCTATACCAAACAATTATCAGCTAACAATTAATTTACCAAATACCTTTATATAATCAACTAATGTTATCAACTAGTTATACCATTTAATTAACCAAATCAACTAACATTCATTTACCAAACATGACCAAAATATTTATTAAAAATAAATTATTTTTCAAAAATATTTTACAAAAAATAATTTTCGTGTTTTCGGACACTAAGGGGGGTGTATTCAATCATGACTTTCATAGAGTTTTAAAGACTTTTATGAACTTTAAAAGTTTGGAGGTATTCAATTCAAACTTTTAGAGAGTCTTTAAAAGTCAGACGGTATTCAATCAAGATTTTTAAAGACTCTTTAAAAGTCGTGTGGTATTCGATTAAAGGGTCTTTAAAAGTCATGTGGTATTTAAACTTTTGTAGACTTTTTAATTTTAAGACTTTTGTAGACTTTTTATTCTCAACTATAAATAGTTGAAATCCAACCATCAACTCCAAGATTTCAAAATTTTCTTTCTAACAACATTGAATGTTTTCTCTCTCTATTTAAATTAAACTCAATTTTTTCTCTCTATTTAAACTTTATAAACCTATCCAAATTCAATAAAATTATTTTTTTCTTCATTATCCTATATTTTCCTCATACCTAAACTCTACTAATTTTTCTCTCTTTCCTAAACTTTGCAATCTTCATCTAAAAATTCAAACTAATATTATTTTTACTTCATTATTGCTTGTTTATATTGATTTTTATTTTTTCTATGATTTTTTTTTATCCCTAACTTTCTCTAATTCTCCCTAAATACATGAACAAAACAAAATTTTCATCATCAAATTTTAATATATGTTTCCTAATATTCATATAAACACTTATATATTTTGATTTTTATTCTTTTTATGTTTATATTCATAATATATATTTTTCCTTTTTTTTTTTAACATCATGTTACTACAAATAGCGAACTACTATTCGCAACAACAGTTTGGGGTTGCAAACAGTAGCACCTTGTTGTTATTCACAGTCTCAAATTGCTATTGCAAATAATAGTACTTTGCGTGATGCCTAGCAATATATCAAGTATAATTATTTATATATATATATATATATATATATATATATATATATATATATATATATATATATATATATATATATATATATATATATATATATATATATTATTTGATCACTTCTTTTATTATAAATTTTATTGTTCAATATTGTTATGAATTTCTAATGAAATAGTTTTTTTTTTGTTGATATTTATTAATAATATATACAATAATTAGCATTTTTTTTTGAAGAATAAGTAATTAGCATATAAGTAACAGCATACTATGAATAAAAATAATAATGTTGAGAATGTTGTGTGGGTGAATAACTATTTAATAAGAAGAATTTCATGATATATTATAAATGTTTTGTAAGAAAATCTATCATCTATCATCTATCAATATAATAAAGCAGTAACTTTCTACTCAATACACTTTCCCGCCCAAACGAAACTGCGTCGTTTTGAGAAGTCAGAATAAAGCTTCGAATTAAATGTCTTCAATCGACGTTTGGCTTTCCTATGTTCAGTATACGGCTAATATCTTATGATACCAAGGTAATTAAATAGACTTCTAATTATTTAAGACTTCTAATGATAACCTAAATGTAATCTCTTTCCAAGACTTCATATATCTATTTATTTATATACACCTAAAGACATTCCGATATACACATACATATTGAACAATTATTAATAAAAATTTCTAACAAAAAATAACCCTGATGATTCGGAATTCTTTCTTGGAAACTCAAAGGTTTCCATCACTCTTCCGGCTGCAAGTCTCTTCAAATTTTGAATTTCACTTCTTCAGCCTATATAAACATGTGTCAATCTTCTTTTACCCACCATTTCTCCATCTCTTCAGTTACATCTCTTCAGTAGCAGTCCCCCACATTCAATATCCCTGCAAATTTATATCATGCCAAGTCAGTATATTTTTGTTAAAGATATTGTCCCTCTTGATAGAGAGAGGGCCATACGAGTAAGGTGTGTTAGAGTTTATGAAATACCGGAAAGGAGAGGCTCCAAAGATATGAAGAGTAGAGAGGTTTTGGTATGCGATCAAGAGGTAAGCAAAATTTTTTCCATTGATAAATTTTCCTGTCTTTCATTACACTGTATAAAATTTGTTCACTAATCTATCATTCAGGGTACTTTTATTCATGTAAACATGCAAAACTCGGATGTAGACAAGTACAAGAATATCTTCAAGGAAGGGAAGCTCTATAGCATAAAGAATTTTTTGGTGTTTAGCCAGTACTATATGTATAGGACTTGTGACCATCAGTATATGATAAGGTTGAACTATGATACTCAGGTCAAGGCAATCAAATCTAGAGGCTTTCCTACAAACATGTTTCGATTGAAACCCTATCAATGTCTGAAAGATCCAACTTTGGTGAATGACAAAGTCATGTTTGGTAAATTATTTGTCTATGCACTGCTAAATTTTAAGATTTAATTTTTTCACCCATATAAATTTGTTTTGTTGGATTACAGATGTAATAGGCAGAGTGATTGAGATACATGCTCCAGTTGATAAAATTATAGGGGGGAAACCAGCTAAACTCATAGACTTCAAGATAGCAGACAATGAGTAAGTTTGACACAATCTATGTATTAAGTTCCTTAAATTTGTTTTCCATTATACTAACACATTTCAATACAGGGGAAATCATTTGAAATGCACTGTTTGGGATAACCATGTAGCTCCCATGCTACCATTCTACAATTCAGATCTAAAAGAACCATTAGTTGTGGTGATTCAGCTGTGTAGGGCTAAAATTGTAAATGGTAAGATGTTTAGTTATCCATAAATTATCTTTCTGTTTATTTTTCTGCTTCCCCTAAATCATTATTATATACATCACTGTTTAATTTCATTTTTTTTTTATGTTGTCCTATTAGGTGAAGTCAGGATCACCAGTTCCTATGATGCTACCAAACTCTACTTGAATTCCTCCTATCAGGAAGTTAAGATTTCAGGGCCAAGTAAGTTTTTAATATTTCTTTTTAAATCAAAATTTTTACAATCTGCTTTTTACAATCTGTTTTTGATAGATGTTTTTTTTTTTGGAAACTGTAGGATAACCACTATTCACAGTCCTTTAAGAAGTATTAGCACTGCCACAGTTATGTCACACTCAACTGGGATTTCTGAATTTAGGAGTGGTGCTATCACTGTCACTTCGGTTGGTGATTTATTGGAAACAAAACAGGTTAGAATTGTCTTCAGTTTACAATATGTCTGCTATGACTAGATTTAATAACTCATCTATCAGTGTTAATAATGATAGATTATTTGGTTCAATGCAGGATGGGGAGTTTTATGTCCCTGCACAGATTGTAGGAATTGAAGGTTCCTTTGGATGGATGTACATATCTTGCATGACATCGGGTTGCAACAGAAAACTGACACAAGATGGAGATGATCTACTTTGTACTAATTGTGATAAAAAGTACAAGGAAGGAATGGCAAGATATCGGGTAAAAGTAAGAGTTATGGATAAAGGATTATCAGATGCTCCCTTCCTTTTATGGGATAGGGAGTGTTCAGAGTTGGTAGGAATCCCTGCAAACCTCCTCTACAATAAATATAACAAGGTAAGCTAACAATACTAAACGCATCACTGTCTTATTAGATACAAACACTAAATCCTATGTGTATACTTTTCCTAAAGTGTTTTTTACTTGGTTATAGGTTTCAGACATTCCAAAAGAGTTGGAATCACTAATTGGAATGTCAATGATATTTAAGATATCATTGAAAATCAGTCAAATGAGGGGAGCAAATCCAGCCTATATTGTGATGAGGCTGTTGAGGGATGAAATATTAGTCTCTACCTACTGTTCAAAGCTTAAAGACAATCAAGAGAAGGACCTGATATCTAAAATGATTGATGAGGATGAAGAGGATGATGATGAATCTGATCAGGTAATATCATCTATGTTAACATTTCATTTTTTTTTCTACTTTTGCCTAAGTTTGAAAACTAAATCACTAATTTCATTTTATAGGAAGCCTCCAATGGTGATAATGAGGTCAACAGTCCCAACAGTTTTCAGCAAACTCAGAGTCCAGCTGCTAATTTGGAAGAATGTCATTTGGTTAAGAGATCACTAATTGATCAGTTCTCTTCTTCTGGCAAGGGGAAGAAGACAAAAAATTGACTGTTAAACCCATCATGCATTTTAGAGTTCTGTTCTGTTGGTAAACAATGAGCATGTATCAAACAATTGTCCAACTGTTGTGTTTGTTGGAATTTTTGAAGTTGGTTTTTGTGGAACCACCAAGACTTAATAGCACTTTAATAGTGCTAAAGTTGTGTATTTAGGTATTGTGCTTTATATAATTATCAGTTGTCTAATCATCCATGAATGTTTAAACTTTTTGTATTGTATTGTTTATCTATCTGTATGCAGGTTGAATTAGAGAAATCCTAAGGATCACAATCTGATCACTGAGTTATTTATTTTTTGCTAACAATTTTTTTATATTTTTGTTTATGTGTCTTAAGCCTAACAGGATTTATCAAGAACCAGCAATAAAGAAGAGAAGTTTTCAAGCAATCAGACAACCACAAGCAACCAAAGAGATGTAACTGAAGAGAGTACAACACAAAATTGGCTTAGAATGTAATATAAGTTTTTGGTAGTTGTCAAGTTTCTTATTGTTGAACACTGGCAATTTGTATTATAAAACCTGATCTTATTTTGTGGGCTAAAACATTAAAGCTGTTGTTAGATTGTTGTCTTTTTATTTCTTTTTCTTTACATTCCTAAGCTAATCACTTATACTTAGTTAGTTAAGTGTTCTAATGTCAAAGTACCTAAAACAAATTATTAAATACCAAATCATTTAGGAAAGTAACAATCTGCAATCAAACATCCAACCCCACCATTTCTTAGCTAAAAAGACAACAATTTACTAAATATTATTAAGTTTCAAATAAAATTATTTGATAGAATTTTTTAAGATAAAAAAAAATTAAAAAAAAAAACATTTTTGATGCTTTAGCAAAAATGAGAATCACATATTTAATATTTTACACATACAACAAAATTATAAGTCATTTCAAACTGGGGTTGTGTTTCAATTGCAATTTGACTTAGCAAAAATGAGAATCACATTTTACTGACTTATTTATCTGATCACTGATATATTTTTTTATATAAAATTAAACTTAAAGAAAAAAAAAATTTAATAAACTTTAGCTAATTTGAGAATCACATTTCAAAATTACCCTATAAAATTTCTCATATTAATGGATTGAAAGTCATTTTAAAATTTCTTAAAAAATTAAATCCCTAAATCAAAACAATTATTAATCTATGAATCAGAAACTGATAATCATTTTGGCATCACATTTTTTAGATCATCATTTTCCTGTAGATTTCAAAAACATAGATTTCTTTACTTACTGAAATTGTTTTTAAATCATTGCAATTATAAACTTAATTAAGTAAACAGTATAACAAATTACAAATTAAATAGCAATTTGGCCATCAAAATTTATATTTCATTATTTGCATCACAAATGAAATGCTGTGTACAATCATTGTTTTACTGTGAATCACTGAACTCAATTCATGAAATTTAAACTAATTTTGCCATCAGATTGAAAATATCATCAGTCTGGCAAAAAAACGGCTATGTACAATCAGTCCTTTACTATCAAATGACTCAAATGACTCAACTACATTTTTGAAATTCAAAGTAATTTTGGCATCAGATTTTATATATCATCATTTGCCTATCAAAGTAACTCATGTGTACAATCAGAACTTTGAGATGAAATTACTAAACTAAACATATAATAATTTATATAATGAAACAGCAAATTTGGCATCAGACTTTCCAGGTCATCATTTAACTGCAACACTTTTTGGCATCACATCTGAAGCATCTTAAGAATGGAAATAATCCAAAACTCTGTTAAACCACTCAATCAAAAAGCAGCATCTGATTTTATGTGTCTTCATTTGCAGGCAGAAGGAGGACATCATCCTCATATAAAGAACAAAAGTGGGAAAGTTGCTAAATGTAATCCTTTTAATGACAACTCAATGATTTCACTACAAAAGGGCATCAGACATAACCAATTCATCATTTGCCAAACCCTTAAATAAAAATGTTAGTAAATATATTAAAAAAAAAATCATTTACATACAAATCAACTGAAAATCTGGATTTCCCAGTTAAAAATGTAAAGTTATTTTAATGATTATAGATCATTAACTTTTCCAAAAAAAAATTGTTGTTTCTATAAAACCAAGAAAAACTAACACCTAATAGCTTATATATAACATACAACTACCACCACTTTGCCAGTTTTCCTATTCCCACAAACTAATTACACATCACTTAGAGCATTGCAAGCAGATTTAAGGAATCAGATTGAAACATGGGTTAATAAAAATAAATGTAGTGAAACTAATGTGATCTAATGTAATGATGTAGGGATAAGAAACACATAGAAATGTAGTTAAACTCACATTTTAAATGTCATAATTTGACTACCAAATTAACTGCTATGAAAAATCTATCATTTAATGTTAAAGTTCTAAATACATTTAAGCAAAAATGACCTCATAAAGTCCATAATATTATAAACTACAAAGCTCATATGTCAGCAATCTCAAAATATCAATTACATAAACACAGATGATTTGATGCTATTTCCAAGAAAAACTCAAGAGTCATTCAAATTATTACTGCTAATTCATTTTGCACACAAAACACACTTTTTTAGACAAAAAAGAGAAGTTATTAACATCACCTGATATAAAACCTAAATCTTAAAACACTCAGACAGTTTACCTATTCACAATTACAGTTTTACAACAAACAAAAATTGCAGTCAAGAATAATGCGGAAAATACGCAGTTCTACAATTATAGGTAGCAAAAGGAAGCAGCCAATTAACACTCCAGGTAACATACGCACATTAATATCGAATTATTTAAGCATTACCTTAGCAAAATGTTGTTGTATGTACACTGTTTCTACAAGTTTTACCTCTTTACGCCATTGATAGCCTTTTACCTTAGTTGGTAACTCGAAAATTTACCTGAAATTAACACAACAATGAAATTTAAAGTAAAACCCTAACTGCGTTGGTATGTATACATCTATAAAGATCTGCAGTATAAGAAATCTATACACTACGTAAATATCAAATTGTTGATGTACACAGAGACCTATATATATATATAAACTGTGTAGAGTGCGGAAATTTACCTTCATATTAGGTTTCGGATCACAAGGTTGAATCCACATATGTGAAAAACACTCATCTATGTTTATATAACTCAAAAAAAGAGCAAATGTAAGCGTAACAGTAGATCGGAACGAATTCCCTAAACCGAGCTCAGATTTTCAAATTGGGTTAGAAAAAGGAAAGATTGTATGTTGAGCGGTGTGTATAGACGAACAAGAACGGATGGATAGCTCGGTCAGAATGAGATTGGGCAAGAGATTGAGTTTGAAACCTAAAGAATCGATGGCCATCACCAACAACGGATGGAATCGACGCGATCGGACAGAGTGTTAGAGCGAGAGAGATAAGGGATTTAGCGAATTGTGCATTGTCCGAATGCGGTGTCCGGGTAGTCTAAGCCGAGAATGGGTTGGGTTTGGGTATTGAATTCGGGTCAGGGTAGTTTGGGCGGGTTTGGGTAGGTTATTTGGGCTCATTATTTAATAGGTTTTGGTTAGGGTATAAATGGGCTAAGTATATATTATGTGTTTTTTATAATGGGATAAGTATATATTCTCTTATGGTAAGAATGGAGTAATTATATATTTTGACATGTGTTTATTTTGTACATATTATTAGAGTTAGGGAATAGTATTTTTTTTTGGCTTATTGTTCTCGATTACTGTTGAGATATTACTTTGCATCTACTTAGGTAATTATTTATTGAACAAAAATAAATAGTTTCTAACCCATTTATTAATATTTTGCAGAAAATGTACATAGTAGAACAGCTGAAATAAATACTGATGTTGTCGAAAAAGAGAATCAGACGCACTCATACACTGCAGGAACACCAATGTTCACTTCTAATAGAACTAGCACACCAAACACCTTGGTCACGGATGGTAATTCAATAAAATTAAATTTTCAATATATATGGTATTATATATTTCAATTCATGTATGTATAATTTTTTGGCTAATGTTTATTTTCTTTTCAATGTGGAAAACAAGAAAATGTGAGTATACACCTCAGCGCACATAATATGGAATATACACAAACCAACAATAAATGCAGAAAATTCTTGCTAGGAGTCAACAGCCCTGTTTTCAATACTGGAAGTAGCGGCATAACTAATGGTACATTCAATTATGTTTTACAATCTATCAATTATTTTATATAAAGTTTCTTCATTTATACCTTAGTCTTTTACGCAATTTAACAATAACAGTGCAATTATGCCAATCAACCACCACAAGACGGCCGCTTTCAGAAATATCAAATGGTAAGGTTATTACTTTGGTTATTAGAATGTTTCACGCAAATCGTTAATTTGATATTTAATTGAATACTGTTTTTTTGTTAGTCAATACGAGCGGAAACATCATCCAAAACACGCAATTAAGTGCAGACCAAAACGCAAGAAATGTGCTTAATAGAGATCTATTTAGTGCCTTCGAGGAAGTTTCCAATATTCAAGCAACACGAACAAACCTAAATGTTACAGGGAATGGTAATTTTTTTAACTTACTTGCGATTTTTTTTTTTTAAATAATCAGGGAAATCATCTTTGATAAATTCAAAATTTGATATACAGGGATCAATCAAAATGTGGAAGAAGAAGAAAATCTGGCTATTGTATTACAACCGTCAGATGAAAACAAAGGTATGTATAAGAAAATTTTTTTCTTAAATAATATATTTTTTACTTTTAATTTAAATAATTTTATAAATTGAGACATGTATTTTTTATACTTAGTGGAATACAATGATTTGGGTGATGCCAATAACACATGTCAATATTGTGGGGCGATTTTTTGGCACGAGGAAAGGATAAACAAAACGGTGATTCACGGTACACCTAGATATACAATGTGTTGCAACAATGGTAAGATTCAATTGCCAACAACACAATTGCCCCCGCCGCAGATATATGACCTTTTCTTTGGAGTTGGTGAAAAAAGCAAGCATTTCTTGAACAACATAAGAACGTACAATAATATGTTCTGCTTTACATCAATGGGTGGTAAGATAGACAGAGATGTGAACAAAAACGGTGGTCCACCGGTTTTTCGGATACATGGACAAAACTTCCACTACATTGGTAGTCTTTTGCCTGTGGACGGGAAAAGACCACATTTTGCGCAGTTGTATATATATGATACTAATAATGAATTGGTGAATCGTCTCAATTCCGTAAGGTATGTCTATAGAGTGGAATTGTTATTTTTTAATATAATAGCGCATATTAAATTAACTAACTTTGTATTGGAAGTTAATCAAATGTTTGATGTTATATTAATAGGCCAAACGGTGATGTAAATGACATCCATGAAGAAATTGTCAAGGATATTCAACAAGCGTTGGATGCAAATAATGTTTTGGTAAAGTCCTTTAGAATGGCCCGTTCAGAAATAGAAAAAAAATCCTTTGGCGGAGGTAAAGATAAAATTGCTTGATAAGAGATCAAAGGATGCGAGAACGTACAATTTGCCACAAGTTTTTGAAGTTGCTGCAGTAATTGTTGGTGATATGGATGCAAATATTGGAGAGCGTGACATCGTTGTGGAAACGAAGAGCGGCCTATTACAACGAATTAGTGAACTAAACCCAGCTTACTTACCAATGCAATACCCATTGTTGGTTCCTTACGGTGAGGACGGTTATAGAGAAGACATCAGATTCTCCACCGTAAAAGGAAACAGTTCGGGTGGTCGTCAAAGGATTAGTCCGAGGGAATATTTTTCATACCTTATACAGTCAAGATTGTCGCTGGGTTCTACATTACTGCATGCAAAAAGGCTTTTCCAACAATTTTTGGTGGATGCGTATACAATGGTGGAGTCTGGAAGGTTGATATATATAAGGACACACCAAAAAAGTTTGAGGTGCGAAACATATAATTGCCTGAATGATGCATTAACACGCGGTGAAGTGGATCCTCGGACTCAAGGAAAGAGAATAATATTGCCTTCAAGTTTTACTGGTGGTGCTAGATACATGATACAAAATTACCAGGACGCTATGGCTATATGTAGATGGGTTGGATACCCGGATCTCTTTATCACATTCACATGCAATCCAAAATGGCCTGAGGTGAAACGGTTCTTGATGGATCGTAATTTAAAACCAGAAGACCGGCCTGACATTATATGTAGATTATTCAAGATGAAGTTGGATGCTTTAATTTCGGACTGCAGGAAAAACAAGTTGTTTGGACCCGTCATTGGAGGTACTGAACTATTTCGTTATGCTTTTTCTATTATTTGTATAAGCTTTTTAATTTTGTATAACGTTGTTTATATTTTATTGTAACACCAATTTGTCAATGTTAACAGTTATCTATACCATCGAATTTCAAAAGCGTGGCCTACCGCATGCTCATATACTTTTATTTCTCGATAAGCAACATGGAGCATCACATGGGATACATTTGGACAACATTATTTCAGCTGAGTTACCTGATCCAATACTAGATCCAGAATACTTCAAAGCTGTGGATGAGTTTATGATGCACGGTCCTTGCGGTAGAGCTCGGTTGAATTCTCCATGCATGGCGAAGGGTAAATGTACTAAACACTTTCCCAAAAAGTTTGTTAATGTTTCTACTTTTGACGATGATGGTTATCCTATATATCGGAGACGTGACAATGGTCGTTCAGTGGTGAGAAATGGGATCAACTTGGACAATCGATACGTGGTGCCACACAATAGGCATTTGTTGTTAAAGTATAGAGGTCATATTAATGTTGAATGGTGCAACCAGTCCCGGTCAATAAAGTACCTCTTCAAATACGTAAACAAGGGTAACGACAGGGTGACAGCAGAGTTCTACCGAAGTAACAGCGAGGAAGAGGGACCGCAAGTCATTGATGAGATAAGTATGTACTATGATTGTAGGTACATATCTCCATGTGAAGCTGCTTGACGTTTATTTGGATTTGAAATACAGTTAAGAACACCATCAGTGGAACGATTAAGCTTTCACTTGCCAAATCAACAGAGTGTAGTTTTTGCAGACGATGATCCGGTTGACAACATACTCAGTCGACCAACTATATTGCAAAGCATGTTCCTAGAATGGTTTGAGGCAAATAAAACATACCCAGAAGCAAGGAAATTGACATATGCTGAAATGCCCACCAAGTTTGTATGGAAAAAAGATATCAGGAAATGGCAGCCAAGGAAAAGAGGATTTGCAATAGGTAGAGTGTTCTATGTGCCTCCTGGCAGTGGCGAGATCTTTTATTTGCGATGTCTGCTAAATAAAGTTCAAGGGCCAACCAGTTTTGCAGATATTAAAAAAGTGAATGGTGTGCAGTACGAATCATTTAGGGATGCGTGTTCAGCTAGAGGATTAGTAGACGACGATAAGGAGTATGTTAATGCTATAGAAGAAGCAGGTCAGTGGGCCACAGCTGCGAATTTGAGGAGATTGTTTGTGACTTTGTTGATGTCAAACTCAATGTCACACCCAGAAGTAGTGTGGGAATCTACGTGGAACTCTTTGACTGAAGATGCACAATTCAAGATTAGAGAACAGACTGGACTTGGAGGTACCTAAATTTTTTTAATATCTTTCTTCATGTGATGCAATCTACTTTTATAAACACACTTATACTATTCCTTTGATATTTATGCCACAGATTTAATTTTATCTGAAGATCAGAAAAAGAATTATGCACTTTCAGAGATACAAATACTTCTGACTAATTTGGGAAAGAGTTTGAAAGACTTTCCGTCAATGCCCTTCCCTGATTTACAGAATCTTGACAAAGCAACCAATAGGTTAATACAAGAGGAATTGGCATATGACAGAGATGCAATGAAGGAAGAGAATGATAGTTTGGTGAAGCAACTAACTGAAGAACAAAAGGCAATATATGACAACGTATTGCACGATGCTGAGAATGAGGTTGGGGGATTTTTTTTTGTGTATGGATACGGTGGTACAGGGAAAACCTTCTTGTGGAGAGCATTGTCTTCCGCTTTGAGGTCAAAGGGTGAGATAGTTTTAAATGTTGCATCAAGTGGCATAGCTTCGCTATTATTACCAGGGGGAAGAACAGCGCATTCTAGGTTTGCAATACCAATCGCTGTCAATGAAGATTCAACTTGCAATATCAGTCAAACCAGTCCGTTGGCACACTTGATCATGCAATGTAGGTTGATCATTTGGGATGAGGCACCAATGATGCATAAATTTTGCTTTGAAGCTTTGGACCGAACTATGAGAGATCTACTGCGTGTTCAAAATCCAAGAAGTTTTGAAATGACTTTCGGTGGAAAAACAGTCGTGTTAGGTGGAGACTTCAGACAAATTTTACCAGTAATTCCAAAGGGTACAAGGCAAGATATTGTGGGAGCAAGTATAAATTCATCATACCTTTGGAGAAGTTGTAAAGTTTTTAGGCTAACAAAGAATCTACGGCTTAGGGCATTGCAATCAGATTCGGGAGTTCAAGAGATTGAAGAATATGCAAAGTGGATTGCTAATATAGGTGACGGAACGATTGGTGATTCATTGGATGGAGAGTCTGAGATCAATATTCCAGAAAAATTCTTACTCAAGTCAGTGGAGGATCCTATTGCTACAATGGTTGATAGCATATTCCCGGGGTTTCGTACTGGAAATAGAGATGTCAAATATCTTAAAGATTGTGCAATTTTGGCACCAACTTTGGACGTGGTAGATAACATCAATGAATACATGAATGAATATAATACTGCTGAAGGAATGACATATCTCAGTTGTGATTCGGTATGCAAATCTGATTCCAATGTTGACATGCTTGCTGATCTACACACACCGGAGTTTTTAAATGGCTTACGATGTTCGGGAGTACCAAATCACTCATTGACTTTAAAAGTGGGATCACCGGTCATGCTCTTGAGAAATATTGATCACTCTTTGGGGTTGTGCAATGGTACAAGGATGATCATTTCAAAGTTGGCTACTCATGTTTTAGAAGCTCAAATATTGACCGGAACAAGTGCTGGTACAAAGGTATTAATACCAAGGATGTCTTTAACACCGTCAGATCCAAGATTGCCTTTTAAGTTTCAAAGAAAACAATTTCCGCTAATGTTGTCATATGCCATGACAATAAACAAAAGCCAGGGACAAACATTGTCAAACGTCGGATTATTTTTGAAGAGGCCGGTGTTTAATCACGGACAAATGTATGTAGCGGTGTCAAGGGTTAGTAATCCTAGCGGATTAAAAATGTTGATTTGTGACGAAAATGTACAATCCAAAAATACGACTACAAATGTCGTATATAAAGAAGTTTTCAATAATGTTTAATAAAACTCGCAATTCATCCTATTACTTTTAATTTTAAGTACTTACATTTTACTTCTTACATTTATGACCGTGCATCGCACGGGTGCAACTACTAGTTATAATAAAGCACTAAGTTTCTACCTAAAACATCTTCCCGCGTAAAGAATTCGGCGTCGTTTTAATGATAGATAACACAATCAGTCTAATTAATTGTGTTCACATTGCCTTACCTTTTCAATGTGATACTGCTGGCTAAGATTGTCAATTACCAATGTAATTACACTTTTAATAATGAAAGACTTCTAATTACATTGAGAAACTAACCTATAATCTACATTTATTTACATATATATATATATATATATATATACACATACATAAAATGCTTCGAAAAAACAATCTCTTTAATGTAGTCTTGGGTCTTCAAACGTTTCCAGCAAGATTCATAGTTCCAAGACAATATTCAAAATTGGAGAACAAATTTCAGCCTCTATATAAAGCTCCTTCATATCAATATTCACCCCCAAGTTCACCATCTCCCCGGTTCGAACCACCTGCAAATTAGAAACGAAGAACCAAAATCTGTGCGAAGATACCATGCCATCTATGCATATTGCTGTTGAAGAGGAACAACACAGTTGCTTGAAGATTAAGGTGAGGCTTAGAATTGAGAACACCTGCACATTTGTTAAATCTCTGTATACACACACTTAGCACAATGCTGTGAGTTTTAGAAGTGAAATAGTAACTGACAGTTACATGCTTATGGCTTAGGCATCAGACGGTAGTATTCATCATTTGCCTTTTTGTTTAGTTAGTTTCATATACAAAGATTATTTCATCAGATGTAAACCGGCAGTTGTAATTTTCAATGCAAATACACACAGCTAACCTATATTGTTGCTATGAAAACATATGACAGAAAGTGGTATGTATATATAAATATATAAGATTTTATTTACAAGCATGAATCACAAAAGGTTTTCAGTTGCAAGCAAGCAAGATGGATAATGCAGTACAAACAGTCCTGAAGAGGCATAAGGGATTTCACAATTTGGTAAGCATACTTGATTTTACCCTAACAAAAAAGTTTCTGTTTTGGCTAAATATTATACAATTTTTGTAGGTTGGTGATTTTTAATTCCATTGGAATAAGTTACCGAGTAACATTTACCTGGGTTGCTCTGGATATCATAGCGAACTCTCATTTTTGAACCCAATATCCTATTACTTCAAAGACACACATCCTGCATATAATAAAAGAACGTTATATAATTGAATAAAATGCATAGTTGAATGAAAGGCATAATTAATAATGTAAATTGCACATGTGCAAGGCAATATAGTTTTTTCGATTTTATATAGTAAATAGTAAATACAGAAACAGTCGATTTTGATGAAAAGAAGAATGCTTTCCAGCCATCTATGTGATGTTTTGCTGTGGGTAGTCCTTACTAGACATTTGGTTCTAATCCTACTGGACATTGGTAACTTTATTCTGTTAAGTTCATGAACTTCTTTTGGGGTGCATGCATCATTGTTTGAAAAACATTCTTCTTTTCATCAAAATTGACAGATTAGAAGTTAAGTTGCAATTTTTGAATCTCATACTTTAGATAAGTCATTTTACCCCATGATTAATCAAACAACTCTTCATTAAGAAGCTGTGAGAAAAACATTTGTGTTAAGAGCTAAAACAGACTAAAAGAACTAAAAATTTATAAACACTTATATTTAAGAGCTAAAACGGGCTAAAAGAAGATAACAAACACGAAAAGCTACTAACTGACAATTTTGGATGTTATAGAAAGCTTTTGAAACTCAAACTTACTATTTACATGTTCAATCTTATATTAAAAACCATGAATCTTATATTTATCTAATATGAAAATATAGAATGTTTCAAAAAAAAAGTCTGATGGAGTATGATAACAAACATAGATGCCACACAAAAGCACTTCTATAAACTGAATAGTTAATAAAAAACAAAACCCTTCAATCAAATTTTTAAGCCTAAAAAATATTACACTTAAAAAAAGGAAGATAAACTTTGCAAAGGCCAGTAAAAAAGAGTCCCAAATAATTTTCCATAAACATAAGAATCAAATAAACTTATTCAAAAATCTTCAATAAATGTTTCAAAAAAATCAGAATTCTCGAAAATAAAAAATCTGTAATAGCATCAGAAATATAGATTCATCATATGCTTTTATCCAAAGTATTCGACCTCTAATTTTGCAAAATATATTGAATAGGTGCATCATAATGCACTAATATGCACTTTTCCAAAACTGTTGAAAAATTTACTTAGATTTCCTTATTATATGTTAAAATTGCAACTATCAATGGACCATCTAACTATAAAAAAATAAAAATAAAAAAAAAATAGTGCATTGGACATATAATTAACATTTTCATCATACGCCAATAACCTGGAAAAACATTGTTAGCTAACTTTAAACATGGTATCTAAAATGTATGATGATGTTACAAAATAGGGTAGTAACTTAACTAATTTAACTCTAATTTAATTCGTATTAACTTATCTAATTTAAAGCATAAAGATGAAAACTGGCTAAGGGGTGTGTAACAATTCTTGTGATGGTTGTTTCCTGCAATAGTTCATTCAAAATCATAATTATGCCCCATAGGAGAAAGCAAAATACTAAGTACATACCACCAAAGTTTTAAAAAAAAATAGGAAAAAAATGTGATTCAAAAGACATAGTGCAATAATGATGTTATACCCCCATAAAAATGTGATTCAAAAGGCATAGTAAAATAATAATTTAAGGAACAGAATCATTTAAACCCTTTTGTTAAATAGAAAGTCTCCTTTAAAAAAAAAAAAATCAAACCACCAAAACTAAAGTATTTTGCTTCAAATCTGACTTTAAACTGTGAATACACCAAATAAATTACAAGATACTGCAGATACTAACACAAGAATACAAAATGGTGAGTCAAAATAGTCATGCATGTGATTTTGAATGAAGGATTTCATCATATCTATACTGAAATGCGACTTAGTAAGTAAACAAACCCTTAATAGTTAGGGTTCACTTGATCTGCTCAATTTGTTAAGAATTTAAGGATAGAATTGGAATTAAGTGAGAAGGTACTAATACTTTGTACAGATCTAAAATGAACCTGGGTAGAAATAGACAAAGAGTGTGCCATACGAACATAAACAGAAACAAAAAGCAAGAATATCATTCCAGCTTTGAACTTGACTTAAAAAAAATCAAGTGTACTGTATAAGAGAGCTGGAAAAAAAATCCAACTCCAGAAAATGACTTAACATTTGAAATAGTTGTAAAAAAATTAGATATCATTTACTCAAACAACGATATCAGGCAGTTTTTCTTTTGAAAAAAAAAATTACACAACTTTCAAGTGAAAAATCATCATCTGAGTTTTGCTAAAAAATTAGACTTGAAAATAGACTTCAAAATATGATTTGGCATCAGAAATATTTCTTCATCATTTGCATAAAATTTGAAAAAAAATGGTACTCACTCATAATAAATTGACAATATAAGTAACCAATAACAAAAAAGTGGGAATAATAAGCAATTTTTAAGCTACTTGCTTGATTCGATGAAAGGAATAATAAGCAATTAGTAATCTAAAAACTTAATTGCTTACTGAAATGGTATGAATAATAAAAATGGAACGAAAATTAAAAATTGGAGGAAAATATTCCAATAATAATATTCTACATTATCAATAGTAAATGCATATTTTAAACAATAGTAAAGGTAAATTAAAAATTGAACGGAAATATTTCAATAATAATATTTACATCATCAATTAAAAATGGAACGGAAGTTAGGTAAAAATATCACTGCATTTGATATTCTAATTGATTGAAAATAAAAAAGAATAATTGGCTGAAAATGAATCTGATATTACGAATTGACTGGAAATATAAAAGGATAACTAATTGAGTGATATTCTACCATTATATATTTTCACCAAGTAACCCATCCTGATGGAGAAGATGTTAGCTCTAGACGAAGATGAACAAGATTGTGTTGTCACTACCAATGTCGTCTACAAAGAGGTTTCAATAATGTGTAAATATAATCGGTGATATTATTTTTTTTTAAATGAAAAAATTGTTATATATCTAGACAAAAAAAAAATATCTTCCATACAAATGAATATGGATAGCAATTCATTTCTATAACTGAGTTGTTAGAGAACGAGCACATTTACCTAATGTATGAAAATACTAAACAATGATAAATAAAATCTTTAAAATTATAGGACCGCATCCGTACATCTAGACATTAGCTATTAATTTGAGCAATTATTTGCACAAATTCAAGCAATGATAACATCAAAATATATAAACGATTCAAATCATATCTTTAAGTGCACTATATAATATTTGATGTTCTAATTTAAATAATTATATATCGATTCATATATTCTTAATATATTACAACATGTTCATTCCGTGCATCGCACGGGTGCAAATACTAGTAGTTGTAAAAAAAATTAGATATCATTTACTCAAATAACGATATCAGGCAGTTTTTCTTTTGAAAAAAAAAATTACACAACTTTCAAGTGAAAAATCATCATCTGAGTATTTGCTAAAAAATTAGAATTGAAAATAGACTTCAAAATATGATTTGACATCAGAAATATTTCTTCATCATTTACATAAAATTTGAAAAAAAATGGTACTCACTCATAATAAATTGAAAATATAAGTAACCAATAACAAAAAAGTGGGAATAATAAGCAATTTTTAAGCTACTTGCTTGATTCGATGAAAGGAATAATAAGCAATTAGTAACCTAAAAACTTAATTGCTTACTGAAATGGTATGAATAATAAGCAATTATTTCAACAAATCACTAAACGAAGAAAGTAAAATTTTTTAAAAATATGGTAGTTAACTGATTAATGAAAACTTAGCAGATTCTAGCATAACTTAGCTTAAAAATGGTAGAGACGATCTCAAGATTTAGAAGCAGATTCTCCATGTATATCATCGGTGAATCGCAGATATAGTAGAAGATATGAAAACCCCTACATGAAATACAAAACGTAAGGAATTAGCTAAAACCTAATTTCAAACTTCAATCATATGAATAATTAGCAGTTATTTCAAGTTTAGAAGGAAATAAGATACGAATCTATTAAAAAACATGGGTAGTTAACTTATCTTAGAGACGATTTTGAGAATTAGGGCTAGAATCTCCATCTAGATCATCAGTCAACGTTAGAGCCTTATAATTACCAGTAAAAATGAAGATCGGCGAGTCAAAACGAAGATCCTCGAACTACAATTCCACCGATATGCAGACCTCACTTCGGGTTGCAGTAAACCATGATCTAATGAAATCGGTCATTATCAGCTGCTCGAGACATCAAGGTCTTGGTAAAATGCAAAACGGACTCATATTTTCAAGCTATAGTCTACGATCTGACAACAGAGATTATGACAGTGTTTAGAGAGAATGTAAGAAGAATGCTAGCTGATCGACAAAGGGGAGGTCTGGTTGTGAGGACAAGCAGAGCACATCTTTTAGCATATACACTTGGGCCGGGTTTGGGCTCACATTTTCTAACTAATTTGGGCCTGATCTGCAAATACAAAACATACTACATCTGTTGGGTCGGGTTTGGGCTCACATTTTAGTTAACTAATATTTGTTTTTTTTTAATGTTTAAAAAATAGTATTTGTTGGGCTTATGGAGATTGTACCAAAAATATTTATTTATAATTGTGTTGTTTTTTTTGTTAATATATTAATATTAATATTATGTTCGAATAAACATTTTGAACAAATTAGTATACTATGTTTAATATATTAATATTATATACGTATTGGATGTGTGGAGTAAATTGGCAAAATTATTATCATTCCCATCTTTAATAATATTAATGTAATAGAGTCGGTAGCATTCAAAAAAATAATATTAATATTAATATATTTTCCAACTATTACTTTATTTATTGGTGATTCTTTCTTATTATAGTTTCATTCATGATAAAAAATAACAGTAATGCAAACTTCTACACATTTTATTATTAGTAATGTGTTCCTTTACTTGCTTCAGTCCGTTTTTGTTATAGATTTGTCTATATTTACTCTTACATTTTTTTTAGTAAAACCTTAACTGAAATACCGAAATAAAACGATAATAAGATCTTAATCTAACAAACATAAAAAGATATAGACAAATTTATAACAAAATATAGAGTAAACGGACTGAAGCAAGTACAAGGATAGGTTAACTTAGCTCAGCTTGGATTTTTGACTGCTTCCTTAAATCGACGTTGCGATCATGGTTAAACTTCAATTTTAGCTAGGCCAAAATTCCATAACTAATATTTTAATCCAAATTAGGAATAACGAACTACGTAACCTATGGTTGATGTTCAGAGACTAAATCGGAGGTAGAGAGAATCGGGACTGAGGCGAGAGAATGCGAACCGTCGTCTGAGTATTAGGTCTAGCTAATTTTTGTTTATATATTTCCAGAATTAGGTCGGGTTATTGTGCTGTGATTGGGTATCGATTTGGTCCTAAAGAAATTGGACTGCAGTATAATTTTGGGCCTAAAATTAATTACAAAGATATTTTTAGCTTGATTCTATATGTTATTTATATTGTTATATTTTGGTGTCTTATAATATTTATTATGCTTCTATATATTATATTAGTATACATATCATATTATAAGATGACAAACATATTATTCAAATTTGAGTAATAAAAAATATTTAAGGTTTTATATTTTTCATACTTTAATCTTTATTATAAATCTATATACATGTTCATTATATATGATAGGTTATATGCCCCAGGTCCGTGCTAGCGTTTATAGTCAGGTCAGATCGAGCGGTTCGGGTTTTGGCCTACAGGTCGGGGTCAAAGGTGACGGGTCAAACCCGAGATGGGTTAAACCCGCCAGACCGAAAGCGATGTAGAAGATTGCGATTCGGAAATCGCCAGACCAAAAGCGAGGGAGGTATAGAGAAGGCGAATCGGCAGATTATGTGGAATTTTGGGGTTGTCCGATTAATTTTATTACTTTTGTATTTGGTTCGGGTTTTGGGTTGCATTTTGGAGTTTCTGTTTGGGCCAAATATAGTTTAGGATATAAGTATATGTTATATATATATATATATATATATATATATATATATATATAGAGTTATATTATAATATATGATATTTTTAGATTATATAATTATTGTATTATTAGCATATCATTTTTTAATAAAAAAAAATTCTAAGATTTTAGACATAATAATTAATAATACTACTAAATATGTTTAACTTGGCAAATGTTTATGTGGACCATGGTCCACATAGATGTGTGGACTATGACTCTTATAAGACATTTTTAATATATGATGTTTTATATTATTTATTTACTGAAAGTAAATTATTTAATAGTATGTTCTTAATAATGTAATATTACTTTTTTGACTCTATGTACACCAACGAATTTATTTAATGGTATTAAATTTCATATCTATTTTTTCCGTTTATGGTTAATGTGATGTATGGATCATTTGACATGTAATATAATTATGTATGTAGCAGTTTCAAGAATGATTAATTCAAAGGGATTAAAAATTTTGATATGTGAGGATAATATACCATCTGTAAGTATGACTAAAAATGTCGTTTAAAAAAAAAAACAGAGATAAAACAATAGATATGATCCTATTCAATGATTAATTGATTATATACAAAAAAAAAATGCGTAACTATTTTAAGCAAATGTAATTAAATTATTTGATTATTTGTTAAACTTAATAGATTAACACTAATGAAGAGGTAAACATCTTCAAAGTCACCACATCTGAAAATTGAATGTAATGTATGTTCTATGATTTATTATTATGGTATAAAATAATATTTGCATTATAATTATATTTTATATTAAAATATTTAAAGTTATAATACAAAGTCTTAATTTATGAAAAAATCAAATTATTTTAGTGAAGAAATAAAACTTGGTACAAAATTTTGTGTAATGGGTTGGTGATAGAAAAAATTTGGTGTAAGAATATACTGATAATATTAATTTTGGTGTAAAATCTATTGCAGAATTTGGTGCATAGGGTTAGAGATGGTCTTAGGTTTTGCTACATTAATGGGTTAGTTTATGGCCGAATTATTTAGAACAAAATATGAAAGAAATAAAGCTTGGGCCAAGAATTTATTATATTAAGTAGTATATTTGTTTATTAAATATTATAAAATAACATTGTTGTAATGGGTTGGAAATGACAAAATTTGGTGTAAGAATATACAGAGAATATTCCTTTTGATATAAAGTAGATAGTTAGAGATGGTCTTTAGAGTTAGGAGAAAACATTTTATATATGATTTTATTGGGTTCGGGTTATGGGCTGCATTATTGGGTTAGTATTGGGCTGGATTATTTAGAGAAAAAAAAGAGAGAGAGAAATGAAGTTGGGTCATCTTTCATGCTATTGAGAAATATTGATCACTCATTGGGGACAAATTATTGTGTGGACCATGGTCCACACAATGTTATGTAGACCATAACATAAAGTACATTTTTAATATACTAAATGTACATTATTTTTGTACTGAATGTACATTATACCATATAATGTACACTCAGTACAAAAATAATGTACATCCCCTGAATACAATGTACATTATTTTTGTGTTTAATGTACATTATTTTTATACTGAATGTACATTATTTTATAGTATACAAAATATGGTCCATACAACTTGTATGGACCATGGTCCACACAATAATGATTGCTCATTGGGACTATGAAATGGTACAAGGCTTATTTTTACAAGGTTGGCTATTCATGTTTTGGAAGCTCAAATCATGTGTGGAACGAATGCATGAACAAATGTTTTAATTCCTCGAATGTCGTTAACACCTTCTGATTCAAGATTGTCTTTAAGTTCTAAAGAAAGCACTTCTCTTTGAGACTATCATACGGCATGACAATAAATAAAGTCAAGGGCAAATATTATCACACGTGGTTTTTTTTTTTTGAGAAAGCCAATCTTTAATCATGGTTAAATGTATGTAGCAGTCTCATTTCTAAGTAATCTTAGGGGATTAAAAAGTTTGATATGTGGGAATAACGTACCATCTGTAAATTTGTAAAATATAATTATCTGACTTTAAAATGACAAATAACCTTGTAGAAACCTTAAAAAATATGTAGATCACGTGATGGAATTAGTTTGAAAATATAACTTTATTTTTATTTTATTTACTAAATTTATAAAATAATTTATAATTTAGTCTTTCTTTCAATAATATTATCTTTTTTATTGTTAAAAAACACTTTATTTTTATTAATATATTATTTTAGACATGATCAGTTGTATGTCACTACATCCAGAGTAACAAATCCCAATGAATTAAAGATATTAATTTGTGATGAAACTGATCATGATTGTACTTTCACAAATAATATTATATACAAAGAAGTTTTTAATAATATTTTATTTTATCATATCTATTCATTATTTCCCATCTTTACTATTGGGTGCTTTGAATATATATATATATATATATATATATATATATATATATATATATATATAACACTATTATTTCTTAATAATATTTCATATTACAATATACATCATCTATTTTAATAATGTCTAATAAATTACTAATTTTTTGGCTACCCTATTTTGTTATTATATTATTCTATACATATTGCCGTGCATCGCACGGGTGCAACTACTAGTAGTTAATAGTTAATTATAAGAGTCAAAATCAAAGTTTGTAAGGATGTATTCAATTTAGAATTTCAATAACTTTTGTAGACTTTTTAAAATAAAAAGTTGATAAAAATCTATAAATGTTTTTTATATAGACTTTTATAGAGTCTTATAAAATTTTATTAAAAACATTAAAAAAAAAGTTTTATTAAAAAGTTTTGATTAACTCTATAAAAGTTAATCAAAATTTATTAAAATTTATCATTTTAAAAGTATTTAAAACTCTACAAAAGTTATGATCGAATACACCCCTAAATTTTCTTGTGTAGGTAAACCTAAATAAAAGTTTAGAAAAACTGAAATAAAAGATTTTTGTCAGTGCAGGTGCAGTATATAGAAAAACCTAACACAAGTGCGCAACATTCGTCCTTCTGGAAATCACTATCATCATAATACAGCTTTCTCCTCCCAAGTTGCAAGACACAATCCCCATACCGAACCCTCGGCGAATCTCCGATGGTTTCCTCTACGGTAACCAACTTCCAATCTGAGACAGTGCCACCGTCCTCGGAGCCCTTGAATCAAGCGCAACAGTTGCCGCCGCCGTCTGCGGTGGATGTAGCTTCAAAACTACCGGAATCAGCCGGTAACATTAATAATGGAGACGCTGCGGCGGCTTCTATAGAGCAGCAAGCGCTGTCCACTCCATCGGCGACGACTCCTAAGTGGCCAGGTTGGCCGGGAGATAACGTCTTCCGTTTGGTAGTGCCGGTTCTGAAAGTCGGCAGCATAATTGGGCGTAAGGGCGAGCTCGTGAAGAAGATGTGTGAAGAAAGCCGAGCTCGCATTCGCATCCTCGAAGGCCCTCTTGGAAACGCTGATCGGATAGTAAGCTCGAATCGCAACTCCTAAGTTATTCCCTTTTTGCAATTTTGTTTATTGTAAAATAAAAATGAGCAGTGATTAGTTTAGTTGGGTTTTGCTATAATAGAGTTAAATCTTGTTTTTTCTTGAAATAACGTATCTTTCATAGTCAATTGTAGAATTTGTCTTCCTTTTCTCAAGTTCTAACATACTTTTTAATACAAACCATTTTGGTAATTGTGCTGACATTTTATTGAACCCAAACTTTAGTCTCGATTATCCTATCCTGAACAAGGACCGCTTGCTTGTGTCTGCTTAGTTTTCTAGCTGCATAAGGATTCTTAATTTATAAATGCTACTGTGAGCAATCCCAAGCACTTGCTGAATTTTCCTACTAAATTGAACTGGTGAATTTACTTGAACTGTTTCTTCTGGTCTAGCAATGTCAAACCAACCTCATGTAGTTTGTAAACCTTGCAAATTTCACTGCAATATACACTATTAGGTTTATCCTTGGGAATACTAGTTTGAGCTTTATTTAGCTTTAGTTTCATAGGCTCTAATCATTTCAGATATGCAATTTTGCATTGGGCCGGTCATGTACGTGCCATTTCAATTCATTCTCTTTTCAACAACTCTCTCTCATCACTGAAGAGATAAACAGAATGATATCAGAATTATCTATATTCTTTTGCTATAAAAACTGGTTTATGTAGAAATGTAATTTGCTTAAAAATCTGCTGGTATAGAAATTAAACTTGTATAAAAACTAGTTGCTAAGAAAGCTCTCATTTCTTAATTTCCTTTTAACAGTAAAAAATTATTTAAGCATGTAATGTAATACACACTGCTTGGTAACATTTTGCACCCAAATTCTCAATATGGTATGTGACACATACTATAGTATTGCCTTTGATTGTGCTTCACTGTGGACAGGATTCCCATAGTTGTTAATTAATTAATTTTTTAATGAGCAAAATTTTCTTTAAATAGTAGCAAGGAGATACCATCAAGAGAGCAGAGAGCAACATAAAGCCTTACCCAAACCAGAGATCTATGTAGTTGTTAAATCTAAAGAACTGAGCTAAAACATAAACCCTTTGTGCCCATAATCTATTCAAGCTTTATTCTTTCAAGCATAAGATCAAAGGAAGTGGGTATTTACTAAAACAAAGTCTTTGAACTTTTCTATGGGCATCTCTCAACCATTGATATTATAATAAACTTTGGCATGCTTTGTCAGGAAAAAAAAAGTTTAATGAGTTTGTTTATATGTATATATAAGGTCCTAATTTCTGGAAGAGAAGACCCAGATGCACCACTATCCCCTGCAATGGATGCAACACTGAGAGTATTTAAACGTGTTTCTGGATTGTCTTCTGCTGAGGAAAGTGGTACAGGTTCAACAGCAACCACGGCTGCATTCTGTTCTGTTAAATTATTAGTGGCTGCTTCACAAGCTGTTCACTTGATAGGGAAGCAAGGGTCCACAATTAAACTAATACAAGAAAGCTCTGGTGCATCAGTACGTGTATTGACTGAAGGTGTGCCGACAAACTTTCCTCATGCCATATCAGTGACTTCGAAGCTGAACATAAATTCTTCTCCTTATATGCATTATGGGATTTCTTGTTTCCTTGGAATGGTTTTAGTTTTATTAAGAACTCGGGACACACACCGACTTGGACCTATCTGAAACATGAGTCATCAAGTTTTCTCTTATCTATGTAGTGATTCCATATTCTGAAGTATTCAATTACATATTTATGTTTTCATCATTCTGTAACAGCTCACAACCTGATAATAGTTTCAGGCTTGTACTATTGCTCCATAAGATTAAGTCTCATGATTCATTATACTTTATGTTCTAATATGCAAGGAATGCCATATTTTTTTAGTTGATAATCTTGTATTGTTCTTTGCTATGAATATTCAATTCTGAAAAATAACACTATAGCTTTCTTCTTTCTTCATAGATGAATTGCCGGCATTTGCCACTTCTGATGAGAGAATTGTTGAAATTCATGGAGAGGCTCTGAAGGTTCTTAGAGCTTTGGAGGCAGTATTAGGACAGTTAAGGAAGTTTTTAGTTGATCACAGTGTTCTACCTATATTTGAGAAGACTGTAAGTATGATGCTCTTGATATGTTGATTGATGTCTAATTCGAAATAAAATTACTGAGGTAGTGGTCCATTGCAGTACAATTCAAATATCTCTCAGGACCGTGCAGCAGAGCCCTGGACTGAGAAGCCCCAGGCCTCACATCTACCAGCTTCTGTTCCTGTACTAACAACTCAAGCACTTTCCGAGTTTTCTTTACCTATAAAGCGGGATCCTTATTTACTTGACCATGAAACCTCTTTGGACACCAAGCACCAACGCTCTTCAGTCTCACTCTTTGGACAAGATCCTGTACTTCATGGCTTACGCTCTTCTGTATCTTTACGAGCTGCTCCTGTAGTTACTCAGGTTAGCTTTAATCTTTATATACCTTTGTTAATTCTTTTAAACTTGTAAATCTTCAGGGTTATCTTTGATTCTTTGGTAAGGTTATTATTTGTCATATATTTACCTATATACTCAGCATAAAAGCTGATACTTTGTGACTAGAAAATCAGTGAAGCATTTTAGTTTATTTCAAAGATCAAACTTGCACCCAACATACCATGAAATTTGCAATGTGTTTTGTTTAATGTCAATTATTCAACACTTCCTATTTCTTATATCATCAATTTCAGTCTAAGGAAAAGAGGTATTACTGGGAATCAACTAAGAAAATATTGCATTTAGTATAAAGGACAAATAATTTTTTTATTTTTTTTTTTAAATATTGTTAAAGATACTGTTTCAATTGTTTTCTCCCTTGAGTTTCTTGCAAACTTCATACTCCGCATACTGTTCTTTTTAACTTTTCATATCTCCATTTCAAACTTCTTAACAGTATATTGACCTTAGAGCATTTTCCATTTTGCCATAAAACCTCAAAGCATAATCTACTTCCTTCCTCTCTATTGCTTGAAGAAGTGACTTCCTCAACTATGAGCTCACACACGTTAGAACAAATTGTATGTCACTAAACTTTGTTGCTTTATGATATAGACCCTAACTTCACCCCAAAAGTTAGCTCATTAGTGAAGGCTTGGCCCCAACTTATCTGAAGCGATGTGGGATCGTATTGCTCACCCCTTGAGAAGCCGAGGCTCGCGGCGGCTCGCTCTAAATGATTCACACATTGAACTCTTCTCAGCATCATGTAGCTCTTTTCCCATTTAGACAACTTCACTCCAAACCTTATCAAGCACTAAGTAGCCCTTTCCTAGGTTGCCCCCTCCGATAGGCCGGCATCGAATGGGTGTACGACTTCACTCCGGATAGCTTATACTCCAATATCAAGCACCAAGTAGCCCTTTCTTGCTACACACCAACCTCTAAATGAAAGCACCAAATTATATGGCACTCAAATCAAGATCCTAACTCCACCTCAAAAGTGAAGGCTTGGTCCCAACTTATATGAAGCGATGTGGGATTGTATTGCTCACCCCTTGAGAAGTTGACATCCACAATGGCTCATTCTAAATTATTCACACTTTGGACCGAACGCCTAATGTGCTCACCTCGCCTAAGTGCAGAATACAACCCAAAACTCCACAAAACATACATGGGCAGAACCTACACACTAAGGCGAGTTGACCAGTGTAATTTCCAACCGGAGAAGTCGCCAGAATCTGCCTCACGCGCCGGCGCGTGGTGGCTCCGATGGCGGCGTGGTTCGAGCTCCGGCGTCGTCCTCTTGTTCCGAGTAAAGCCCACTACCTCACTCTGGCATGTTATCAATATATACTAGACTTCTCCCTACTCTAGGAAAAACTATTCATCTTCTCAAGACAACTTGAAGTAAATAGGGTTGCAAAAAGGCTGCCCAAGACAAGATATTTTCAATATACAATAAATACTAGACTTCTCAATATTCTAGGAAAAACTATTCATCTACTAAAGACAACTTGAAGTAAATAGGCTAGCAAAAAAGTTGCCCAAGACAAGATATTTTCAATATGTATGTACTTTTATTTATTTAATACTCATCGCCTAGGCGGTCGCCTAGTTGACTAGTCGACTAGCGGTCGGTGGCATCTCGCCCAGAAAGTTCACCTTGATAACCTTGGGACTCTTCTCAGCATCATGTAGCCCTCTTCCCCTTTAGACAACTTCACTTCAAACCTTATCAAGTACTAAGTAGCCCTTTCCTAGGTCGCCCCCTCTGCTAGGCCGGCACCGAACGGGCTGACGGCTTCACTTTGGATAGCTTTTACTCCAAACTCTTCTCGGTCCAGGTAGCCCTTTCCCCACTACACACCAACCTCTAAATGAAAACACCAAATTATTATACAACATTCTAGTCAAGATCCTAACGACCTAACTTTACTACACAAGCTAGCTAAAGAGTGGAGGTTTGGCCCCCATTTAAGTACTACTCCACAATCTCTTGTGAAGTCGATGTGGGATCATATCTCTTTATTCTTTTTCGCTACTCATTTGTTCCATTCTCCATAAGAAAGCTATTTCCAGTCAAGAATATCTATGATTTCATAAATAGATTAAGGTGTCTGAGTGTCTCTAGCCTATTGCCATAATGAAAGCACTAGTTCAATAGTGCCATAGAACTTCTTAGTAGTATGGTCTTGAAATGTAACCCAAGGGAGGGTTACTTGTATCATTTGATGTAAGTGTTGGTGGAGGGTTTGAAGGGTTTTTGATACTATAAAAGATCCTCCACAAAGATTGGATTCGTGTTTATATCTAGTGGTAATTGAAGCAAATGAACTTTTATTCCATGTTCAAAAACAACATAAAATGATTTCGTGAGCTTCTCTTTGAGGAAGGGTATGTGAATGAGTTGGTTGTGGGATGAGTTTACCTTGAAAATGATAAGTTTGAGGCAATGGCTATATTGGTTATTGTAGCTCAAGCAATGAGGTCGTTTCCAAACTAATGATCTTGTCATAGTTGTCAAGGCATCGACTAGGCGTTCGGTTGGTGGAGATTGGATGCCTAATGAGCTCGCCTCGCCTAAAATGGATGACTCGACTAAAACCCAGGTCCAACCCAAGTTATTAAAAAATATTGTAAATTAAAAAGTGAAAAACCTCCTAGCCTCTCCTTTCGCTGCCAAACGCATTTAACACCCCTCCTCCCAACCTCGCATTCGCAGCCTCGCCCTTCCATTGCTGAATTGTCGTTGCAGTTGACTCTCCCTCCTCCCAACCTCGCCTTTGCAGCCTCCCACTTCTTTCTTACTTCTTCTTGGTCAACCGACCTTTTTTTTTTTTTTTTTTTTTTTTTTTTTTTTCTCGTTCCAAGTTCATTCTTCTTTCTTTCTTAGTGGTTTGTTATAACTCATCACCTAGGTGATGCCTAGGCAGTCAGGGGGCACCTCACCCCAGGCTTTTGAAAAACGGTTGCTTCTGTGTTTTAAGCGCAGAAGCGACGCGAGTGACATGAATTTGCTATGTCTGGGCAAGGCGCAGCTTCATGGTGAAGCACACGCTCCTAGGCGCTTTTCGCCGAAGCGGGAAGGCGACGAAGCGATGCTTTTTGTCGCTTTGTCATGTGGAGCACAAGTCAAGATGGTCAACGGAGAAAGAAAAAAAAACAATTACCCAAAGGATTCTATTATGCCAACGCTATGTTTTCATTTTTCCATAACACTCCTTAGTCGCAGATTCGCAGAAGCTCCTCCGGTTTGCCTCCTCCGTCTCTTGCTGTCTCTTCCTCGCCGTGACGCCACTGGCTCCTCCATTCATCCCTGAGAGTTGATGCCGTCGCTGAGTACCCGAGGCAATTCGCTGAGTTCTTGCGCTGTTTTTTGTTTTTTTTTTTCTATTTTATTTTGATGTTGACACCGAGTCTCCAACTGATTCTTGATGTTGAATAGAGTTGTTAAATAGGCTTGAATGATCCTGATGGACTTGGGGGTCTTGCAGTAGCCAATACTCTTCAATCCCTCTCTCTTTAATTTTTTTTTCAATGTTAAAGTATTAAATTAAGTTTTAAAAATTTTTATAATTAAGATCTTAAATTATAATTTACAATTAACTCAATTAAGCTTTATGGATGTTTGTTTGTTAATTGTTATTGAATTAAATATTTGTAATTTGAATATTTGATTAATTATTGAATGTTGAATTGAAATATTAAATATTTGAATATTTTTAGGGGAATATATTACTATAATGTCCAAGTATTTGTAACTTTGTGTTATTATGATATTATGACTTTAAGAGTTCATAACTTTATGAGATGATTATTATTTATGTTATTTTGCATTACTATTTGAGCATTTTGAGTACATATTAATTTTTTTTTAAAGCTTCGCTTTATGTGAAAAAGCGACGCTTTGCTTTGCGCTTTCGCTTTAAAGCAAACCCGACCTCATCTCTTTTGTGTGATTTTTCGCTTTGAAAAGTTTGCCTCGCCCAGAATTCTGCCTTTACAACAACGGATCCTGTTTGACTCCATTTGTGTTTGAGATCCTCTTAAGATAATTCACAGCCAGTCATTGGCTGCTTCTCATCCTCTGGATAATGTTAATTGACCACATGGTGCTTGTTTACAACAAGTGAAGTATCATTGAAAGTTGAGCCATGACTATGTTTGTGACACATCTATTCAAAATTAGTCATGGTATTGATTCTTCCCACTAAATTAAAGTTGTGTTGAACTATAGAAACCATTTTTGAAGAGTAGATGTTTGATGATTCATTATTGTGCAACGATTAACTTGATCATACAAGTATAAGTTTGTAGTACTTGAGAATCAAATTTGCATCTGGCAACCTCCACATTGAATGCAACAAGGTTGAAGAAAATTTATGCATCTCTTTGATATTTGTATTGAATCATTGCTTGGAGCTTAATTGAGTTTTACTGTATAATGATTGTTACAAAAGTAAAGAGAGTATTTCTTAATTTGTTGTCGTATACTGTCTTACATTGTCATATAGAAAAGAGAATACAAAGCCCTATAAATAGGTGCTAGAAGACTACGAATAGGAAACAAGTTTCCATATGTCTATCTACCTAAATCCCTAAGACTGCCTAATCTTTAGAGATCCCAAATATCAAATATATATTCCATAACGCTTCCCCTCAAGTTGGAACATAGATTTTAATCATGCCCAACTTGTTACAATCATGCCCAACTTGTTACACAAATAACTGATAACCCAAAATAAGTAAATAACAAATAACTAAATCCATTCAGGACATTCCCTTGAAACGAAAGCTTTGGACGCCACCAATACCACAGACAGCCAGGTGAACTCAAAGTGGACCGAACAAGCTTGGGATTGGATACTCCCTTTGAAACGAAGCTTGGACTCCACCAATACCGCAACTCCGGGTGAACACAAAGTGGATCGAACAAACTTGAGATTTGACACTCCCCCTGCAACGAAAGCTTTGAACGCCACCAATACCGCAACTCCAAGTGACCACCAGTTTGGACATACAAGGTAAAGAAGACGAACTCCAAATTGGAGGGCACAATTTCTTTACAAGCAAAAGGGAAGCATCTTTACTAACAAAAGGGAAGCACGCTCCAAACGACGAGCATAAAAAAGGAGAGACAGCACTAAAACGAGACAGGACCGAAACACAAAAAGAGACAACACCAAAACACGAAACGGATTCCATCCTTCTAGAGGAGACTTCTAAACGCAAACCCCTCATTAATAACCCTCTTCATCATAAGATCCCGAGGTAGCCGCAACACATTTATACTCGGCCATACCCACAAAAAACTGATCACAAAACTACACAAAAAGGGAGCCTAAAGGGGTACGAGACAAACCGACTGTAAAGCAGAAGGCAATGGTCCAAACTAAGTCCAGAACCAAGACAAACGGACTTGGGTGACCCAGGAACAGGTTGACCAAAACGTTTTCCAATCGTTGGAGGAGCCTCAAGCGCTTGGTCAGAACGTGATGACAATGGAACGAAAAAAAATTATCATAAAGGCTCTAATACCATGTTACGAAAGTAAAGAGAGTATTTCTTGATGTGCTGTCGTATACTGTCTTATACTGTCATATAGAAAAGAGAATACAAAGCCCTATAAATAGGTGCTAGAAGACTACGAATAGGAAACAAGTTTACATATGTCTACTTACCTAAATCCCTAAGACTGTCTAATCTATAGAGATTCCAAATATCAAATATATATTCCATAACAATGATGATCTTCTCTAGAATCCATAAGGAGACTACTAAATTGTGACACTATGGTTTTGACTAGCCACATTCCTAACATTTAATTGTGCTATAATCCAAGGTAGAGATTCTATGTTCTTGATGACTTTCTGAATTCAGGAATCAAGCTGCCTCCTAGTGGAAACAATTCAATACTAGTTTATTACATCCTCCAAGTTGATGATATTAAGTAACACTTTTGCTCTCAATACTCTCAGAAGTAAAACTGTTCATTTTCTATTCTTCTGGTGGCTAACTCTTCTATCATAAACAAGCACTATTGTAAAACTCAGCCTAGGCGGCCACCTAGGCGCTAGGTGCTCCTAGGCCAAAACAAAATAGGCGAAAATCGTCATTTTAGGTGGTCGGCCAACTAATTGGCCTACTCAAATTATTATTATTATTGTTGTTGTTGGTATGTTTCGCTCAAAATGATGCTTTGAGCAAAAACAAACCTAAAATTGTGTGGGAATAGGCAGCATAGCAGCAAATTGAAAATCAGAGCTGCAAATAAAAAATCAAAGCACTAAATTGCAAAATCCAAAGTAGGTCCCTTCACCCCCTTCTGTGAACCGGCCAATTGACAGGTGACAGTTGTTACAGATGATGAAACAACATTGATACGTGAGTACACGATTGCTGCAATTGAGATGCCATCATCCCAATTCTTGATGATGCTGAGCACAGACACCATTGACAGCCGGTAACGATGCTGAGTTGTTGCTCACCAGTTTCTGCCGTAGTTTGCCACTCGCCAGTGGTGTCTTTTGATATCAACTTCATTTCTTCCTTCAACGCCATAGTCCAAGTTACCGGGTTTTCAACTCTTCTTTTAGGGCTTTCTTCCACTTTTCCTTTTTATTTTTTATATTAAAAGTTAAACCCTGGGTGCCTATGGCCTAGACTTTTACTTTTCCACCTAGTGATTTTTACAACATTGTAAATGGGCTCCTTTTTTTTTTTTTTTTTTTTTGAAAACAATGGGCTCCCTTGATGGCCCTCAAATCTCTTGTCTTGCCTTGAGAGAGATTAAATTTTAGGTTTCAGAAAGCAAATAGGTTACTGAATTCCACTTTGGTCAACATTTTATTGAGAATTTGTGATTTAATAATACTAGGGATGTTGACAAGGTCCTGCATGAAATTACCAGCGCTTCTGGTCTGTTTTTCAAAAAGATTCTCTTAATTAAACTTCCAATAATGTGAATAGATCCATTTTTATTTTTTTTTGGAAACATAGGTCCATTTTTTATTACAATATGAATATTAGTTATTTATATTTGAGGTTGAGTTTGAAGGATGACAGTGAGTTGGTGTCAAACTATAGGGCCCTGGTGTCTTCACATTCTAAAAAATTATTTGAGGCAAAACAAGAAAGGGTAGTGGCTAGATCTGTGACGGAATCATATAACAATTTCTGTTAAGTGGAAGACACCATTAAATCGAAGGAGATAGGGAATTATTGGAATTCACAATTTAAGTTCATGCACAGCAGATCATTCTTGTTATGCCACACTAATTTGGTGTTTCGACGAAATACTCGTAACCAATAAAAAGTCGAGAGATAGGTGAGGAAGAAATATGGACTTGGATGAAGTTTGTAACAGAGATGTGAGTACAAGGATTTATGATAGTTTTAACATTGATTCGAATATAGAAAAAAGATCTACCTAGTTATCCTAGCTATGTAAAGATCAAACTTAGTTGAGGTATAAATGTTAACTCTCTTAATAAATCTTGATCTCTTGCATGGGCTTGTAACTTGAATTATCAAAGCATTGCTATGCTGCTACCCATCCTTACAACTCTAGATTGTCAAAATTTCTCTCTTCAATTCCTGCTGTCATTTTGACCTGAGTGAGGTTGTTATTAAATAGTATCTATTAATTTTAATTAGATGTTTTGCTGGCTCTTTTCAACCTCACATCACTCCCCTGCACCACCAGCTTAAAAAAAGAAGCTATATTTTTTTTGAGTACTATCGGCTCTATTACAAGGTAGCATATGTTCAATATACTTTATCCATACCAGATGATTTGTTAAGGCTATACCTTATTCTAATTTTATCATTTGTTTATGACTTTCTTGGATCATCAGGTTCTCTGCATTATATGTTGCCATGACCAGCCAATTAATTTACAGTAGATTGGATCTTGTGTGTTTTCCCTTGATTTAAGTTGATTTTATTTCTTGCATTCATGTAATTCCATATCATCCTTTTGGATGGTAAACCTCTACTAGTTTTGACACACTTGTATTCTTGTTGGTTTTCAAATAATATACCATCCTGCATTGTTTGGCTGGTTTAGATGACAAAGATAATGCAAGTGCCCCTGTCATATGCTGAGGACATTATTGGTATTGGTGGAACAAGTATTGCATATATCCGCCGTACTAGTGGGGCAATTCTTAGTGTGCAAGAGAGCAGAGGCTTACGAGATGAGATTACTATTGAAATTAAAGGAACCTCATCGCAAGTTCAAACTGCTGAACAGCTTATTCAGGTAGCAGCTCATCTTAGTTGATTCTTTTCTCTTTATTCTGTTACAGTGCAATTGGCATCAATTTTGCAGGGGCTGTTACCTCTGGTCTATTTGAACTAGCTTTTGCTGTTGCTTCACTTCTATGTTCTTGAAATTAAGTAGCAATTATTTTTACTTATTGATCTTATCAAGATCTTATCCAACCCAGTTTTTTGTTTTAGGACAGCTTTACTTGCATATAGTACTAAGTAGAATTGAAGTATCATGAGTAGCTGGGGGTGGGTGGTTGTGGTTGATCTGTCACTGTATCACCTACAGGCAATTGACAGAAAAGCAAGGGGAAGTGGGAGCTGTGTACTGGACTTCTTTAGTGTTCAATCCAATATCCTTGTATTCCCTTTGCATATGTATTTTGCAAATGTTCAACATCCTAGTAAGATGCAAAAGTAGGAAAAACAAAACCAATTTTTTTTTAATTTATTTTTTAGAACTTTTATAGTTTTATAGCAGTAGTGAGTAATTATGGATTTTTTTCTTTGTAGGAATTTATGAACAAACATAAAGAACCTGCATCGAGCATGTATGGCAAGGCAGAGACAGGACTTGGCTCATTCTCACGTTTTCCAGACTATTCATCGTCTTCTTATCAACCTCAGCCACTAGGAGGCTATGGATCTTCAAGCCTGGGAGGGTATGGCGGTTTTAGACATTGAGTGAGCATTTTTTTCATTGGACACTTAACAGAGTTCATTTCTAGAATGACGATGGCTGTATGTATTTCTATAATTACTTACGAGTAGAAATGTATGATGTCGAAGCTAATGAATGCTTAAACATGATTTTAGGGTAAAGATTAGCGTGGATTAATGAATATTACCTCTTATTCTCTTTATTTTATTTCTGGTATGGCAATTATCTCGTATTGTATATATGGGATATGCTGCGATTTTTATTTTTATTTTTTTAAAAAATGAAAAAAAAATTCGTTGGAGAAAGCAACCAATTTTGGTCGCAAAGTGGTTGCCTTCTTCGAATGAAGGAGGTGACCAATTTTATTTTTATTTTTTAAATCACAGACACGCGATTTGTGTATATACAAGATATGCAAGTTCCACTTGTGTGTTTGTTTGATTGCGAAAAAAAATAAAAATAAAATAAAATTATTTGACAACAAATGTATTTGTGAAATGTTCTCCTTTTTTTTTTTTTTTTTTTAATTTCAGTCTTGTTTTTAAAAATGTCCTATTTTTGTCTAACTTTTTTTGTTTTGTTCTCATTAGTCTTTGGCCCTAATAGTGTTCCCACATGACACACCTTTCAATTGCACTCTAATGGCCTTATGGAGATATTTTGTGATTTTTAAAGAGTTTTTTTTAAGTGTGATTAGGAAAGAGAATATGAGAGAGAAGAGACAAAAAGATTAAAAAAATAACAAATTGATTTTTGTCTGAAGTGCACGCTCCCGTTGGGTGCACTTGTGACGGGCCACGCGAGGGTGTCACGAGTGATTCATTTCCTCAACTCTCTATCTCTCTTGCCTCTCTTTTTGCCATATTAATTCTTTTGTTCTTAAAAATTGTGCATTATCTGCAGATGTGAATGATCTTACACACTCCATGTAGATCTTGATCTCAGTAATTAAGTGAGCTTAGGGGTTCAACCCCCACTTGTACACCTCACCCTACCACCCTTAGACAAATTAACCCCCACTGTACAGAATAGGGACTTGAACAGCTCATCACCCCCTAAGCAATGAACCTCTCTTCTTACAACCATCATTATCTTTCTTTTCCATTCTTTGTTATCTTCTTTTTCTTCAATTCCTTTTTATCTCAACATACATGTTGTATATATTTTCCATCTTTTTTTTTTCCCTTCTTACATGTACAGTTTTGGTGGTGAGCACTGAGCATAAACAGCTTAAGAGTGGCAGAAGAGAGCACATGCATGCATGCATGCATCTAGTAACGTAACCCACTCAACATCATATATATCAGCTGAAAAATATTATATTGTTGGTCGCATGAAGGAGCCATCATATCGGAGCAGTGACAATAGAAAATCCGACCAAAAACATTCTCCGTCGCTGTAGTAAATGCATGCGTACCAAACACCCAGAAGTTTATATATATATATATATATATATATATATATATATATATATATATATATGGGTGAAAACAATCTATCTTCCAGCGAACCAAACGAGCTGTAAAAAGCTAAGCAAGCGGTTGATCTGATATATTATTATTATTTTAATTTAATGGCAAAAAGAGGGCCAGGCCACCAAAATAAACGACTAACGAATTGAAACCACACTGCATGCCAGCCAAGCCAGGAATACAAAAATAATTGATTTCAATTTCTTTAATTTGTGTAAATCCGGCCAATTCGATCAAGCCGATCGATCGAGACAGATACCAATTTCAATTCATTGTTCAGCGAATTGAAGAAATACACGTACGTACGGCCGCATGCAAGAAGATGTGTATCTAGAGATCGAGATGGAACTTCTTTTTCTGCTACAAATTAAAGAGAAACTTCCATTATATTCCAACCACACTACTATACATACGTACTATATATGCATGATTGACATTTTCTTTAATTTTCACTTGTGGAAAAGTGGGCGCCGCGCTGTTACTTGATTTATTTGCAGGTTGCAAACTAAAGTGGATGCATCATGCATGTGAATTGTGAAGTGCCTGCCATTCACACAGACTTTAGGCAAAAGCAAAAGCAAAAGCTTCTGATCGGAGTATTATTATGTAATCTTTACTTTTTCCAATACTAATAATCATTCTATTATAACTTAGTATATATTCATGTTCCCAAACATGCAATGTGACCTTCCTCAAAGAGAGCTTCAAATATAATTAAACTCACCCTGCTTTGCTTTGCAAGTATTATATATGTTTATGTTTACTAAAATTAAATTAACTTATAATATTTGATCTATATAAAAATATAAAATTAATTAATATCATAATGCATATTTACACCCAAAAAAAAAAAAAATAAAAGAATTTAGCTTTTTAGGCATCTAACACAGTCCACACCAACTTATTAGCTAGTTGTCCTAAAAAATGGGTATCAACGTAGTTACTTCAAGATGCAGCAATAGTACTAGAACTATTAAGAGGACAGCGCAACGAAGCACTAACTAGCGCGCTAAATGCACGCAAGGACCGAGGACACTGGACAGTAGTTAGTTTAAAGAAAAAGTTCTGTCCAACATTTTTCTTTAATTTTATTATTTTTTCAAAAAATAACTAGAGAACGATTCATGTCATTAATTAGGTTAAAGTATATACTAAATAAATCTTGTGAAGATTGTAATAGTACTCCTTAAGAAGCCGGTTAAAGCTTAGTATCCCATAATAAATCTTCTTACCGCGCACACCAATCTCATACATGTTAAACGAGGAGAACACAATAGCTCTCGATTGACCAATTGTACTGTGCCCTTTGAATTACATCGGATCGATTGGTCCCTTTTATAAGACTAACTAACTACAAGCTCCCCAAACTTAATTTGACATTCATTTCTTAGCGTTTAAGGCTGAACAACCCGGTCTTAATGTTCTTCTATATGACAATTAAGTTAATATATGAGTTGATGCGTTCATTCATTGAGTCACGCAAAATAGGTAGTGATATTAGCCTGTCTTTTTTTTCAAATTAAAGTCCGGAAGCTTCCCGGCCTTTTCCCTTAGCTTGCCTTTTCTTCCCTTTTTACAGCCAAAGCCCAAAGCTAGCTACTTCTAAGCTAAGCAACTGCGCTAGCTGCTGTAAAAATTATCATACAATACAATTGAATAATATATAGCTAATAGGTTAGGTTGAAAGAGATGGAGAAGAAAAACATTATATTAGGGAAGGTGTAAGCAGAGACATAATGAAGAAAAGTCCTTCTGAGCAGGCGCTTGCAGAGCTTTTTTGGGGGAAGAATGGAGGCGATAAGGACATTTCTATTGCTCATTTTCATCACCATCCCTCCCTCCTCCTCATAAATCAGGTATATATGTATTTCATTCATTACTCATCTATCATGCACCGATCGATATGATATATATGATTATATTGCCGTAGTTAATAACTCTCTCTTTTTGGTTCCTAATAATTAATCTAAACTTCAGCACTATTATATTATATTATTTAGTATTTACGAGTGGATAGTACGTGATTATTATAAAACTTTTTTAAAGTACATGTAAAAACTCAGTGCTGCAACTTGGCTAGCTACCTAATTTCTAACAATTTACCAATCAACAATTCAACATGTGCAGACTGTCAAGTGTCTTTTATATATATATATATATACACGTACTGTATACTTGTAAAATGACCTAACCAAAAATAATAATTATAATTTTACTGGCTCTATTTATTATTTCAATGAGAAATTAAGAGCATTTTTGGTTGGATATAAAATATTTTTCAAAGATTTCTTAACATTTGAGGGAAATGTTTGATTAAAAAAAAATATTTGAGGGATATGCGTTCTCTTATTTGGTTCATGAAATTTATTTTTCAAAGGGATATATAGAATTCGTTAAATTTGAGAAAAAAAAATTCTTTAATTTATTTGCTTACTTGGTAGAAAAATTCTACCCTTATAGAACTCTCATCATCATCATCATCATCATCATCATCATCATTATTGTTGTGTAAAAATATATTGATCTTTATACTTATTATTCTTTACACTTTTAAACCTAATCAAATATTGAAATCAATATTTGAGTAGCTAACCAAACAATGGAATCAATATTATTTCAAGCAGTTTTTTCCTTAATCAAACAATAAAATCAATTTTCCTGATAATTTTTTTAAAATAAAATTTCAATTCAATTTTTTCTCAAATATTTTTCACAAAATAGGTAATAAGTGTTTTATTTAATCAGTTTCTTTGATTTAAAAAATTTCAAATTCAAAATTTGTGAAGACAATAAGAGTGTAAGACAACAACATTTAGGCAACAACTTTATTTATAGAATTTTGTGCAATTCTCTTTCGTTTTGTTTTAGTGGTGTCTTGGAAATACACGTATGCATCAATTAAGGGCAAATTATGTTGTGGTGCACACGATTTTAAAACTGTTCATAATTATGAATATAAAGTTCAAAAATTATGAACGCAGAGTTCTATAATTATGAATATAGAATTTTATAATTATGAACATAGAGTTCTGTAATTGTGAATATAGAGTTTAATAATTATGAATATAAAATTCAAAAATTATTAACATATATTTCAATAATTATGAACATATATATAGTAGTTCTGTAATTGTGAATATGAAGTTCAAAAATTATGAACATAAAGTTCAGTAATTATGAACATAGAACCTTGGACACGGTTCCACGGCATAACAATTCTCAATTAAGTTATTTATTTATTGTGATTGTGATGCGCGACGCAGGATGTAATGCATGGGCTTTCGAGTTTGAATCCCTTGAATGATCATGTCAATTTCTGGTCTAAGAAAACAACTCCCAGCCATGCAGGCATTGTAGGACCTGGGGATGCACAGTCTTCAACATGTGGTACGTATTGCTTCTTTTCCGGTCCTCTAATATCACTTGTTAAGATCAAACGTTTATCACTTACGCCCAAAGCTATAGTTAGTAGCGAAGGCGCAACTTTATTTTCTTATCACATTTTCGAGATGTTGGGTGTTGGATTTGACCATTTACTGATTTCCACCCAACCACAAGGTGCTAAATTAGATATTTACCGGGCCCCGCCCAACACTTACTCCTCCCATTATATTCTAGCTAATCTATACTTGATAAATTAAAGTCTAATCTCACTTATATGTTTTATATATGTTGATAAATTTGAGATATTACGAAAAATACTGGAGCTACCAGTGGATCCTCTCACGAACTATGGGAGGATGATGACATGGACGCAGAAGAAGGAGGTGCATGCGAGCAAAGCGTGGTCAATAATAATGATGTGAAACGCACAAAGAGGTACTCTGATCTACTCGCACGATCTAAAATTTCCATAAGCATATATGCAACATTTATATTTTATAGCGTGAAACCGGCCATGAGAGTTGATATTTTTATATTATAGCTAGCTAGGGCGTATCGTTTACATTATATACTTAGACAAATATATATATATATATATATATATATATATATATATATATATATATATATATATATATATATATATATATATATATTGTTGGGTAATATGGTTGTAAAATCTCAAAATAATAATTCTACAGAAAAATTATTATTATAAGGGAAAAACAGAAAGATATAGGCAAGGAAAAGATGAAGGCTTTGGGTATAGGTTTAGCACGAGTTCGAACACAAAGTTCTTTTCCTTAAAACCTTATTTGCTACCTCCCACAAGTGCTAGGAGCGTTGTAGCCTAGGTTTCCCAGGATAAAACGTGCTACGATTCTTTGTTTAAGCACCTAAACAAAGAACCCGGCAAACAAAGCAAAGCTTAGAACACTGTTTGTGAAAGAAGAGACGTGCTACGATTCTTTGTTTAAGCACCTAAACAAAGAACCCGGCAAACAAAGCAAAGCTTAGAACACTGTTTGTGAAAGAAGAGAGTAGAAGCAGAAGTTTTCGAAACAAAATTATACTGGAATTCCTTTGGTTTCGTACTGTGTAAAATGCTTCAGACCGTTAGGGTGCAGGTTCACACGAGAGCATAAGTACCAGCAACACGAGAGCCTCTATGCTATACAATTCTTCAAGCTTCAAAAGAGTTCATGTATATAAGGGGGGCAAATCTTGTTTCCAAACCAATGTGGGACAAAGTCCACTATTTCCCTTCATTTCCCAACTCAAATGGGTCTACTTTGAGAATCATATCTCATTCACCCATTATACGTTTTGAGCGTACAATATATCAATCTCTTCGTCTCACTATGAAGAACCCGAATCCACTTTGACCCGACCCAAATCGGAAGTGGGTCCTACTGATAATTGTACCACAAAATAGCCACTTAATATGCCATTTTAAGCTAATTTTTCCAACATATATATATATATATATATATATATATTATTAGAAATACATATAAATAATATATGTGTGTGTGTGAGATAAAAAATAATAATTAAATCTTTCTAATATAATAAGTATATATATAAACTAAGTTAATAATTAGTCATTTTAGTATGTACTCCGTATAATACTTTTTTTTTTGAATGTTAGTACTCCGTATAATACAAATGATGTGGTTTGTGTTATTTATTTATTAAATATTAAACCTAATTAAACCCTAGTAAATAAAAATATAAATGCAATAGTTCCAGTATTGTGTAGTTGTGTTTAGTTACTTGATCTATTTACCCCTCAATAATATAATACCCTTCACCGTACTATACCTTTAAATTAATTGTAAGCAATATATAGTCAAAACCAAAATGTAATTGAATGCAATATAATAAGAATGTAATTATAAAATAAAGTGGGCTTATCGATCTCCTAGCTACAAGCTAGCTAGCTAGCTAGGTTACAACTTAAAAAAAAAAAAAAAAAAAAAAAAAAAAAAAAAAAAAAGTGAAGTGTCTGTATAAATATACACTGCAAATTGAAGCTACATTGTGTTCTCAACTCTCAGGATGGCTTCCAATAGGGAATCTGCTAGGCGTTCAAGAAGAAGAAAGCAAGAGCAGTTGGCAGAACTGGAAAACCAGGTATATATTAATTAATTAATTAATATTAATAGACATATTTTTTATTTCCATCATAATTATCATTTTCAATGGCTACTATACATCAATCTATCACCTAAAAAACATTTTTTTCCTTTCTAGCTAGCTTCATATATGTATGTGTAGCTAGCATTATTGCTTTTTTTAATATTTCTTTTTCCTGGCAGGTTGATCAACTACGAGGAGAAAATGCATCTTTGTTCAAGCAACTTGCAGGTGCTGCTCAGCAATATAAAGACTCTTCAACAAATAATCGAGTGCTTAAATCAGATGTGGAAGCATTGCGAGCCAAGGTAATTAACTAATTAATAGTTTACACACATATATAGGGTCTCGTTCAGGTGCGAACCAAGCTTCTCATGCGAACCTGGAATGAAATGCGTACTACGAACATAAGTGCACAACAACAACTCCAGCTCTGCAACTATGTACTACAAAATGCACCACACCTAGTACATGAATGCACCAAAACTAGTACATGAATGCACCGAAATTAATTATTACGCGGAATGGATTGTGTTGTTGTACATACATTCATGCATGTAGTACGTACCTACGGTGCTGTACATTCATGTAGAACTTATGGTGCATTTCTTCATAAGTTTGCAAGTTCACATGGGAAGGCTGGTTTTTATTTAAACGCAACTATATATATATATATATATATATATATATATATATATATATATATATATGGAATGGCTTCCCGTGCGGTTGTGCGGACATGTAGTTGGACGCACCTTTAGGATTAAAATGGCGGTATTAACTTTGTGCATCTTAGTTTATAACCCTGACTCACCACCTCAAGCATATGAATCACGCACCTTAAGCACACAACACATGCACATTAAGCGCAAAACTCACACACCTTAAGTTTCAACAACTACTCACATTAAGCACTAACCCCACGCACCTTAAGCACAAATCTCATGCACCTTAAGTAGCACATACGACCTCAGGCACTTAAGTTTTAACAACTGCTCACATTAAGCACACAATCCACACACCTTATGCACAAACCCCACGCACCTTAAGCACAAACCACACGCACATCAAGCTCAAAACTCACGCACATTAAGCCCAAACCCAAGCACTTTAAATTTATCTAGATGCAAAAATTACCAAATTGTCACCACGTTTTTTTTTAAAAAAAAAATTGGTAATCTTGGACGTTGATTTAAGTAAGATCAATTGCTCATATTTAACTGCACCTAGAGCTGCCAACCACAGCAGAACCTAATTATATATATAAGAGATGGTGTGAATATATAGCAAGGTTGAAAAAATCAGTAGGCGCCCTCTAGGCGCCTGGTGACCTCATAGGGCGCCTAGGTGGCCGACCGCCTAGCGCCTAGGCACCGATTAATCGGCGCCTAGGCGCGATTTTTGCAACATGATATATAGAGTTTCAAATAGTATAATATATATCAACTAATTACAATATATTTATGTAATAATAATAATGTTGTATCTATCTCAAGTACAGTGTGGTTTAATTTGTATATGTAAATGTAATGTAATTAGGTGAAGCTAGCAGAAGATATGGTTGGTCGAGGTTCAGTGAATTCTAGTTTGAGCCATCTTATTCAAAACTATCTCACCGCTCCGAGAACTACACTAGGCATTAATAATGTATGCCGTTTGGATAATATGTCTTCTACAATGATAAGTGTCCCCGAATTGGAAGGCCATGCCCATGATTATTCGCCATCGCTGCTTCAAAGGGTAGCAATCCAGGGGCCAACTTCAACTATGGAACTCCACAATAATGTTGATTCTTATACTGATAGTAACTTGAAAAATAATAATAATAATAATAATAATAATAATAATAATGGAGTTATAAGTGAAGTTGTGAGCTGCGTAATAGATATGTGGTCCCCGCTCGCTAGTTAGCTAGCTAGCTACGATCAGATCAGAACCTCAATCTATCTCAAACTTTAATAATTAGTATTAGTATTGGTGTGCTTACGATAAACAAAGTTTGCTTAAGATCATATGGTCTGATCTGGCCTTATTATATATGTAGTTTCATCTAAGTTGTACCTACTTTTGCTACCCTTATATATCTAGACTAGACTAGACTAGATGTGTGCACTTGGTTTATTATGTTACGTTGGTGCAATATAATGTAAATGTGATTAAGTTTTCTATTTAATTTGTTTTTGTTTTCTTGACTCCTGTCTATCCCAATTGTTAAAACTTACTCCGATGGAATTTACTAAACTAGCAAATAATATGGCAAGTTATACTAGCAATCATGATCTACATTGCAATATGAACCACAAATAAATATTCTTTTTTAGTATACTGAATCTTTATTTTTAATGTACTCAAAATTCATTTTTAGTATAGTATACATAAAATTGAATATTCAGTACACAAAAAATGAACCTTCAGAAAATAAACATTTAATGTACTAAAAAGAGCGCCTTCAATATACTAATAATGAATATTATGTCAAATGGTTTTAAGGTGGACGGAAGAAATCATGTTATCATGTTTTTTTAAAAAAATAAAAAAATTAATATTTCACAAGTGTGATGCATGGAAAAAATCATGTTATCATCGTTTTTAAACAAAATTTAATATTTTACCCGTGCGATACACAAAAAAAAAAATCATTTAATCATGGATTTAAATTAAAAAAGTAGAATAATCATGAATTTATATATATAAAAAAATATATAGAAGAAATGAAGTTAAAATGTACATTATAATAATATATAATATAATTGGACTTTCAATATATTTGATCAGATATGTATTTTTATATCATACAAAATTAAAATTAAAATTTTGTATAGTTACTATAGTCTCTAATTATGTACATATTTAGATAAACTTATAATCGTAATTTACATAATTAATTAAATTGATTGTTCCTAATTGTATTACATATATATTATGATTATAACAATATGAATACTAATTAAGGGAATTATATAGAAATCAAAGAGTTAATTCCATTTTTGGTCTTACCCCAAACCAAAAATGAAAGACTAAAAGTGAACTGCCACCTATAAATATAAGACCAAAAATGGTCATGTCACAATAATACTAGGATCAAAGGATGATGTTTTGAAATTTTATTTTTTTTTAAAAAGGACTAAAAGCGGAGTGCAACCTATAAATATATGATAAAAAATAGAATTAACTCGAAATCAAACTATGTAAATGTTAGATTTTGCAGTGGTTGGTAACCGTCACTAAATTGTTTAGAGGCAGTTCTCCAATCGTGGCTAAATAGGGTGACTTTCGGCGGTCCTGGCGGTGGTGGATGGAAGAAATTACGACGGACAGAAAAAGGAGAAATTGAAGAAGTGCGAGGAAATTGCGATTGGAAGTCAGATTTGGACAAGAGAGGCCGGCGGAAGACAATTAACCGATAAAACTATCGCCGTAAATTAATAAATAGCCATAAATTAAACTATCGCCACTAACATTTAGAAGTGATATTTAATTGTAAAAATAGCAGCGGTTGTTGCAACCGCCACTAAATATATATTTAGCCACAGTTATATATAATTATCGCTAAGTGTGTGTCGTTAAATATTCAATTTTTTGTAGTGTGTGCACATTAATATGTATTTAGGCAAATTTTATAATATAACTTCTCTAGTTACTATTTAGTATTTATATTGCTAGATTTATAATTAAGATAGTTATATTTATTTAAAAAAAGTTAGTATCTTAATTTTGTATGACTAATATAGTGCATAAGTATATGTATGTATTTAAACATATTTCTAAATATTTATGAATACACATTTAAGGTTTGTTTGAAAATCCGAAAAATGACTTCCGGAAGTCATTTTTCCTTGTTTGGGTATTTAAGAAAAATAAATTCAAAAAAAATATTCATTATGGTCAACGGAAAAAAGACATAAATTGACCAAAAATGTCTTTCTAGATTTTTAGTCGAATGACATTTTTATGAATTCTTTATTTTTTCGTATTTATGTTCTCTCTCATCTCTTTTCAAACTAGTTTCCTAATTATTATTACTACCACCACCGCCGCCACAACCACTACTACTACTACTACTTATTATTATTATTATTATTATTATTATTATTATAACAAATAATAGGTTTTTTTTCAAACAATATGAACCAAGTAGAATTGCATCTTAACTTTCAGCCAAACATAAAAAGATATTTTTTAAATCTTCAACATAACATTAGAAAAATTAAATTATTTTTCATAAAATGAGTCATTTTTTAAAAATTATTTTTTGAAAAACATTTTATAGGTTTTGCAAACGAATGCTTAGTTAATTTTATAATTTCATTTCCTTGATTATATTCTATATTGCCTTGATTATAATTAAGGAATTGCATTTAGAAATTAAAAGAATTTAAATTTTAAAATTTGTATGGGTTAATGTAGTCTCTAACTATATGTACATAGGCATATTTCTAAATATTTACGAATTTTATTATTAAGACTATGAGTTTAGGCAAATTTTAAAATAAAATTTTCATAATGAGTAACCATTGGAGCAATGTTTTTTTTTTGGATGCTACTGGCTCTATTACAATGTAGTATCTGTTCATATACTTTATTGTGATTAAGATCTAACACTTAAGGTGCACCTTAGCTTATACTTCTTTGTTCCAGGCACGCGTTTTTTTTTTTTTTTTTTTAATTTTCATTAATTTGAGCCGTTGATATAAATTTGATCAACTGCTCAGATTTAACCGCACAACTACACGAGAAACTATATCCGCACCTGAACCCTTCCCTATATATATATATATATATATATATATATATATATATATATATATATATATATATATATATATATATATAATCTACAATCTACAACTTTAATAAGAGCCAATATTGTTAGACCCTTAACGGGAACTAAAAGAATATCAATACAACAATATGCTCTACAAGATCATACTTTGTACTCATCTGTACTCATCTAATTGTACATCACCAAATAAAAACCCTAATATACCCCCATCTAATCTAATCTAATCTAACTTCTAACTCTATAATAAAGCAAGAATTTTTTAGCAAAATTTTTTCCCGCCCACTAAACACTACATCGTTTGAGATAAAATATGTATCCGTTCGAAATTATTGTTTTCACATTGGTTTACAGTTTCCTATCCGGCTTTGCCGGCCACATTTTGCATTGGAACATCACAGTTTTTACTTTGTCTATTACCAATGTAGTTATTATTAGAGAATACTAATTACATCGAGAAGGCAACCAATTATACATATAACTAACTATACATATCCATCTAATACAATTACAATGTATTTGAACAGATATCTAATTAAATTAATCTTGGATATTGAACCGTTTTGTGCAGCCTTCATAATTCCAAGAAAGTCTTCAACTTCGAAAGACAATATTCAACATCTATATAAACCTACCTTGATAGAAACTTGCACTCCCAAATTCACCATCTATCCACTTCGAACCACCTGCAAAGAGTCCCTTGAGGTCCACATATAAGAATAGAGTCCCTTTGAGGTAAACATTTACTATTTGTTAGTATATATATTTTTCTTTTTTGGTCTTTATCATTTTTACAGGTACAATAGAGTGAAATCTATACAATCACTAAGCTGCAGCAAAATGAACTTTTGATATACAAAGATGACGCAGCAACTTTCATTTTATGTAGTTTTATAGCAAGTTTAAACAATGCTAAATTTTCTGTTCATTGAAAATAGCTGTTCTACACATTATTTTGGCTCTTTTAACATATGACTTCAATTATAATCATGTTATTTGTTTAATTTGTTGTTGTAAAAATATATTATAATAATATAACATATATTTATATGCAGTCATGCAACAAGTTTATGTATGCGGAGGAGGAAGGCTAACATGATTGGGAGGAAAAAGGTAGTATATGTAGGGCAGCTGCACCTGTCTGGAGTTGAAAATTAGATTTGGAAGAGGCTTTGCAATTTTACACGGACCTGTTGAATATGTGACATTGGCCTCTTCTGCAAATTTGGTAAATCTTTGCACCCTGCCACCCTTTCACTTTCTCTTAAAAAATTGAAGAGAGCAATAGAGATGATGAGTCAGGTATGCCATGTTTTAGTAAGTCCACCTGCAATCTAAAGTGAGAAGAAAAAGAAAAAAACAACATTAAGAAAACAAGATTTAGAAGCTGCAATGCCCCAAATAAAAAACAAGTAGAAGGTGAAAGAATTTTTATTGTGATAATAGGTTGTTGAATGAATGCTCTTATAGGAATTTTTGGTAAATGAATGTGTATAGGAATTTTTACATGATACTTGTGTGTTTGACCTAACATATCCAAATTGTTCCTTATTTACATTGTGTTGTTTTTTTTTTTTTTTTTTTCTGTTTTCCTACACAGTATTTCAGGTACTACTAGGACAAATGATAAAAGTAGACTAAAAGGGAGGTTATTTTATTGCTAATTAAATAGGTCAAGTACTGCAAATTTGATTAATTAAAAACATTGCATCCCAAAGCAATTAATTGAGATTGCTAAGAAGAATTTTTCAAATTTAGTAGGCTGTGACTGAATAAATATTTAGAATACTAATTACACACTTAGACCATAAAGTCAATTAAAAAAATAGGCCACAAATCAGATTAAGTAATTAAGTTTCCATACCAAAGCAGTGTAATATTTTTGCACAAGAATAACTACGATACCTTCAAACTCTACTTAATTTGTACTGTATGCTAATAAATGTCTTTTTTTTCTTGGTAAAACAAGGTGGTTATATCAACATTCGTAACTTGGTTGAATGCTAAGTAAAGCTTTTGGAGTGTAGACAGGTTCATAAAAAATGTATTTAGATTCCAATGTATGTAGACATGATAGCTGTATTTGATGATATATTGTATTGGAAATTAAGTCCAAGTAAAGCTTCTTTATATATTTGTCTTATTGATTTCTAATACTGAGACCTATTGTCTTTAATAAAAAAACATACATCGTTTTGACTGTGTACACTACTTCTAAAATTACAAGACATGGAAAAACATGATGGCAATGAAATTCTAAAAAAATCAAAGGAAATTGGCCAAGGAGTTATCATACTACTATAAACAATTAAACCAGAAGAGAAATTGATCAAAAATCTATTAAAAATAAGTTTTGGAAAGATCAAAATTGAATTATTTTCCTTATAATTTGAAAAAATAAAAAAATATATAAAAGGCCAAATCTTTAATTTTGAAATTAAAATTGTTCAATAAATCAGACCCTGTTTTCTCATTTTGAAATAAACCAACTTCCTTCAATTAGATGTTTCCCTAAGTATTGAAAACCTTATTTCAGATCTTGAAACTCGAATTCATGTACTTAGGAAAACCCGATTTGTAAATCTAATCTTCCCGTAACATGCACAACAAAATATTAGTTGATCTACAAATAAATATAGCGAAGCAGTACAGAAAGGAGTAATTATATAGATATACTTATTTCTACATTGCGAGCTCGAATATCACCGACCAAAGAATAAAACCGCGACGAACTAGGTTTGATTTTCAGGGAATGAATATTAACTGGTATCAAACACTAGATTTGGAGTATTCTACCGACAAAACATGAACTCTTATGTTAGAGTATAGGGTTGAATGTAGAGGTTCTGACTGCGATAGAGAGAACGGCGAAGAGGGGAGAGAAGAGGAACGGTCGGCGGTAATGACGAATTAGCTGCAAATGAGTGTATATAAGCAGATCTATTGGGTCGGGTACTGGGTTTGGGCTGGGTTTCATTGTTGGGCAATTTTAATTGTAGGCCTGATTATTTAATGGCAAATTATCAATTGTTATATCCTCCAAAAATGGTTGTTAATCCTTCTCTATCTCTTTATCATGTTTATCTTGAAAATCTGCATGTATAGTTATGATTAACATTTAGAGAAAGATGATATATTTACCAGTATATCAACAGATCTATTATTATATGAAAATGATAACTATAATTATAGTATATCTAGAATGTATCTAGATGTATATACATAGCATATCTTCTTTCAAAGTTTTTTTTTTTTAATCTCACAACATGTAACCTAAATTAATAAAATTGTCTATTCAAAATCAAAGTAGGCGTCAACTTAGGTAAAATTACTTAGAAAAAATAAATTTATACAGTTTAGATAAATTAAAGCAGGCATCAGAGTTTTAAAAAACTTAAGAATCAATAGTAGGCATCAATTTAAGTAGTAGATTTGAAGACTAATAAATTCAAGCAGGCATGAGAAACTTAAAAAACTTAAAAAATCAAGAGTACCCATCAACTTAGGTAAAAACAATTTTAAAAAAAAAAATACAGTGTAAAGTTGGATTAAATGAAAAGTCAAAATATTAGGTTACAGTGACTATTAGTTCAAAAAGGTTTTCACTTCTAAGGATAAAGATGATTAAATTAATGATTTATATACTTCAAAAATTGATTTTTAATCATAAAAGTTTAGAAATAATGGTCTAATTACTTGTGTTATATGGACTATAGTTTTAAATGTTCTTTTATAATATATATACAATAATGTACTTTTATTATGACAATAATGAAAATTTATGTATCTTGAGTTTGGTTATACAATATTGTTGGGTCAATTTTGATTTGTACATAGAATACTTTCCGGCTTTGGACTGGTTTTCATATTTAAATTGGCATAAAGTATGATGTAATGGGTTGTGTATTTGATTTAGGTTTTGTATGTATGTATATTTAATTCGGATTATACATATATATATACACGCACAGAGTATTGATGTTACTTATTTAAAAATAGATTTTGATATAAAATATGTTTATTCAATTTTTATATGTATGGAAAAAAATATTATTATACATCTTTTCAATAAGAAAAAAAAATATAAGCAAGTTACATTGCATACGATATATTATTAATAAAAGTAGCATCAGAATAATATACCCTCATATGCTTTAATTTTTCTATTCAAGTTTTTGTTGTGATATGCTTATTAGCTCAAATATATTGACCAATGGAATTTAGATAAAGAAGATAGAGAAGAGATGAAGAACACAATAAGCCAGAGAGACACCTTCATCTGTTATTTTAATATCTAAATATATATACATGTACAATCATTAAGTATTATACTAAATGACATAACTGTTACATATGTTACAAACCAACAATAATGTCCATAATGAATGAGCTATTTATAACACTCCCCCTTGGACATTATTTGTCCACAATCTTGCTTTAATAACAAACTTGCTAGGAAAACCCAGTGGGAAAAACCTAGACAAGAAAAGAGTACAAGGTATATGGATAGCATACATTCATGCCTCATTAAAAACTTCACTAGGAAAACCACGTGGGAAAAAACCTAGTTGAAGAAAAGAGTACATGATATATGTAAAAACATATATTGTATTGGTCGCCTCATTAAAAACCTTAACTTAAGAAAACCCTGTGGGAAAAACTTAGTTAAGGGAAAAAGAGTACAACCATAAGCCTTCAGGGCGCAAACTGCATAATCTTCAGGATTTTGGGGTTTGTCCATTTAAGCAATTATTTTGCAACTTTTTCCATTGTCATTACTATATCATACACATGCCTCGTTAAAAACCACACTAGAAAAACTCAATGGGAGAAAACTAGTGAGGAAAAGAGTACATGATATTTATGAATTTATGTGTTGCAAATAATGCGCAACTGTGAGTCTTTTATGACTTAATCTTCAGGATTTCACATTCAATCTTCCGGATTGATTCGAGTAAATGTACTTCATGTCTCCCCCTGAAGATAACAATCTTCAAGTTCTACATATATTTCAAAAATTTGAAGAAATGGATTGGACAAATCTTCTGGATTGTCACTAGAGTAAATGTCTAATAATCTTATGGCTCTTCTAGAGCTCATATAACATTTGTGCAACACAAGTATTATTGTCCTCATTTTGAACATATAGGGAAAGACATTGTATAACCAGTTTGGACTTGGCATTGCGGGGACCAAACAAAAACATCCAGTACCCAAGTAGCCAATTAAAACCGTATCATGGTTTCTTACATAAATGTCATGTTTTTGTATCTCGAAGATACCGGAGGATATGTCAATCATTATTCAAGTACTTCATTTGTAGGGGGAGCACTAGATTTTGCTAGCAATTTTATCGCAAATATGTTGCGGTTATGGAACTTCTGGTTTTATAATGGTGCTCCAATGATAATGAAGTAAGGGACTTCGAGTCCAAAAAGGTTTCTTATCTGCTTCAAGAGATTATTAGGCAACATTTAGTTTGATAAAAACATGACACTTATATGCATATAGACATGTGAAAAAAAAAATATTTTTAGATGTAGGCTGACTGGTGTATATAAAAGAAATCTTCAAAGAAAAACTCGATCTTCAAGTCGAGATAATACTTATAGCTTTCACAAGCTTTTTATTTCAAAAAGTCTCAGTCTTTAAACATGAATTGACATTATCAAGCTCTTTATATATTTCATTGATGTTTACACCATCAATCTTGACTGAGATAATAAATAATAAATAAATTCATTATCAACCCTTTATCAAGCACACAATGGTACATATTATTCCTTCAATGAGGATATTAACTCCATTCGCAACCCTTTAAAGAGTAGATAATGACACATAATAATACTTAAAAATGAGAATTATGAATCCATCAGGGATTTCTCAAGATAAATTTAACTGCATATCTAAATTTATTATTCTGCCAATAGTGTTATGTAGCAGAACTTAATGCCATTTACCGTGGGAGAATATATTTGATTAAAATCAATTAAGGGTCTCTGTGTGAACCCATAGGCTACAAACTCGCTTTATCACCTCATTATTCTTATTTCTCTTTCATGCACACACCCATTTGTAACCTTCAGGGTTAACGCTTAATGGTGTATTGTTATAAAGAGAATTTATTCATATTAGCGAGTCGAGCTATGCCTTAATTGCTCCTTTATATATTAAATATTCATGGCACTTCTGGTGCCTAACTCTGGATCCAGATTATCATATAACGAGCAATTTGTAATGGCAATTGTGTTGTCGACAACTATAACCTTTTTGTAAAACTCCCATATTTGTAAAAGTAATGGCAATTTCTAAAACAACCAGATTTTAAACATTTCCCAAAGATATTTTGATATGGTCGTTCCGCATCCCTAGTATTACGTTTGTTTGGTGCACCTATAAGTCTTACCAGGGTTTTTCGTCATCTGGACGAACGTCTGCAGGACATAATTATTCAAACTATTTCAAGAGTGACAATATTTCTTTACTAAATCTAGTATTATGATTCATATCTCTTTCACCGATAAGTCTCCTACACTTCTGGTGTCAAGGAGTATCGATAGATATGTTTGGTCCAAGGATATAGGACCTAGTCACTTCTTTTATGATCATTATGATCAATAGATGTATTCGGCAGATTATTTGCTAAAATCGCAAATAGATTATCTTTTGAACTTCCAGTTCAATCTAACTAGTACATGGATTTAAATAATGAAGATGTTTTTATTCTTATGAAATTTCTTGGCATTCCAAAAAGCTACGGAGTAGTATATTATCTCCCCCTAATGCCGAGAAACAATCTTCATTAGGAATGCAGTCAACGTACCCAATTATATGTATTGATCCCCTATCATGGGCTTTCGGTATTTAATCAATAGACGACGAAGGTTTCTTTGATAGCCCTTTTAGAGGTACGTTGTGGTGGTGATATCAAATAGACTGCGCAAATAAAATAACGCAGATAGGGAAATGTTACTTCTGAAACCACGTACTAGGTGAAAAAGGGGGTATAGCAATCCTTGAGGGATTGATTTGTAATATGCATTGAGTTAGACTTGGATAAAAAGAATTTGACTCATAGTTACGTCATAGCAATCCTTCAGGGATTGATGGGATAGGTGGACCATTTTTTGTCAAGAATTTATCGTCAAGGTTCATCCTAAAGAATAACTCATAGAATTAAAGTCCTTAATCTACCTTCTGGGCAAATAAATATAGAAAAATGAGGGCTATAAACTTAAATATCATATGTCCAAATCTCATGTCAAAGAGTTTCTATAGCAGAAACTAGCACTGTAAACATGTCATAGCCTTTAATTGTTATCACATGCAAACTAAGGTTTAGCAACGACAGGTGCAACCTAACCATATTGAGAATTCATGATATTGCCACACTTATAAGTTGGGTGATGAATCTCAATAGCTATGGCCTATAGCAAAAAATTAATTGCCAATAAGAAATAACAAAAAGCTCTTATATGAGCCTAATCAAGAGATTATATGCTAAAAGTTGTCAATTAAAGAGAAGCATGCAATAGCATGTGATATAATTGTCCCTTATGTCTTGGACACCAAACTCTCAATTGAGTCATGCACATCCATTAAATAAAGAGTATCATGTTTGGTACACACAAGGCATGACACGACAAGAGATATTGTTTATTAATTCATAAATTAGAAAAATGAGAGAAGTACCGTTCGCCGAAGAATAATGAGCACATGTTCGCTGCCGGGCCCATTCATTCCTATTTCGGGGAGTCAAGAATAGCACTTTTCCAAGCAATCTCTCATTTTATTTCATAGTTTCATATCAGCATGAAAACATCACAAAATAGCAAGATATACAAGCTGAAAACGGCAGAAAATTTTCAGAATTTTGACCTGGATTG